CAACGTTTCGACAAAGATACTCGATGCACCGATAAACGATGCAAACAGAATTATCTGCGCTTTCGCAACGCGATACGCATACTCTCTAAACAAACTTGTCTAATCTGAATCACGCTGTAATTAAACAAGGATCTTGAGCAAGTAAAATTGTACTTTGTTCGTGACGATATGTTCTCGTACATAAAAAAGATCGAATGAAGCGCTAGTAAAACATAGAGAATTCGTTAAATTTAAATAAAATCTTTTCTTTCCTCGCCATTACGCGATTCGCGCGTCTCTTCGAAAATGTAAGGGCGACACGATATAATGCATAACTACGCGATCCTCGACGATCTCTAACAGGGTGAAAACACGCTTCGGCTATCGAAGTAACAATTTCACCATTAAAATTTTCTCGACAGCCTTGTCGTACGGTTCACGACCTCCATCGACAGACCCTTTTTATCAACTTATTAGACTCGTTCGCATCGTTTCCCTCCAATTCAGAGGGATCCCTTTGATTGTTCTATTTGTTTAACGAGACGAACCCGTATCGTTTGAAATTCGCTTAGAAAAAAGATTACGCTTAATCAACAAATTAGCTCAACATTCTGCAGGTTTTCGTCCTTTCTACCCTATAGATTCTGACATAGAAAACTCTCTTAACCTCGCGGTACAATAATTCTTGGAAATTTCAAAACGTAAAAGTTGAAAATCTGGAACCGAGGAGTTTCGAGGAAAATTGTTCGGAGTGGGTGGACAGGGGGTGCGGCTGGAGGGGAGAGTTTAATCCGGGCATCGTCGGTGTAGCGGATGAAATCCTTTCCTCGCGGAATATTCGTTCGCAAACGCGGTTCGAGTCACGACCAACTCCGTTCGTTGCATTATGGTCGATAAATCGATATAGCAGGCATCGAAGCCCGATTCTGATCGCCACGTGCGGCTGGTAACGGCATTCTTCGTTTGCCCGTTCCTTCGCGAAAGCCGCGCTCGTTTTCTGACGCTTCCTCTACCAGAGAACTAGGCGAATCGAATCGAACCCTATTGCCACGAACACGAGCGACACGCGTTCCAGAATTTCGCGTAGAAACGTACGATAGAGACAGGCGAGAGAACCGGTTGTTTTCGCAGCTGTGACGATCCTCTACACTCTACACATCTTTCCATCTTATGATCGTTTGTTTCTGTTTAAACCATCTAGACACGATGTTGGAACGTGACGAGCAGCTCGTGAACGGTAACTGGGTATTTAAGGACACGCTCGAGAGCACGTACGAAAATACATGTAAATACCAATTAAATATTTCTTACAGAGATAACATTTTTCGTTCAAATACATCGATCACATTCCGCGCAAATATTTTACACCCATTTTTACTCTTTCATACTCGTATTATACGTATATTATGTCGAATAAATACGTATTACAGCGTATTACAGAATGAATAGATAAGAAGATTTACGATCGACCGAAATATTTCGTATGATCAGGAATCGAGGGGAAATTCCAATTCGTAAAATAAACGATTAAAAGATCAAAATGAAAATTTCGACCTTTCGCGCTCATCATGATCATCGGTTAACCAACGAGCCCTTGGTACGATGGAAAAGAAAGGAAAGAATCTAGGCCTTGACTTTTAACCTGTCCGTCGCGTCGGTGCATGTATATTCCCTATTCTTTGACGGTTTAGTTGTGCGCGTAATTATTGGAAATCCATTATTTCTGAATGAAGAGTTTCTCGCATGCCTTACAGAGCCTATCTACCTACTTATCGAGCTTTCCATAAAACAGCCTGTCCGCATTTATGTTCTCGCTAAACGGCTCACCTTTTTCACCAACTTCGAGCGAACTTTCTATAACTTGTCAACAATTAATTTCACCGCTACAAGATGCGACGCCATTAAATTATATGCTACGATCTCTACATATAGGCAGGGTTCGCGATATTAATCCGCCTATTCGACGATATAGTCTCTATAAATAAAATCTCCGCCTAGAGAGATAAGTCATTGATAAAATCTCGGTGCAATTTCGTTACAACCCTTGAGTAACCGACCAACTGCTTACGTTTTAGTTCGCTACGTTCGTCGAAACGGTTGCATTAAAGACGATCCGTAAATGCCGAATAATTATTTCTCAGAGATGTCGAATATTATATATTATTTGAAAGATACTACTTTTTATCGTAAACGTAAACAGTAAAGGAGTAATCAGGTAATCAACGCGATATCGGCTGTTCGAATATTACTATATACGATGAATCGAATCGCGGCGAATTGAAACACGTACAGCCGAATCGCGCCGAGTCGAATAACCGTAACGTCGTTGTTACGTGTATATTCATACGTATGACATGGACGTTCCATCTAAACTATAATATCTTCCTCGCGCGATTACCACCGAACGTATCAAAAATATATTTTGATAAACAAAAATCCCCAGAAACGCTGCATACGTGAACCTGTATACACGAGGCGACACTTCACCGACAACTTTATAGAATGACTGAATATTTATAAAGGATGCCAATCACGCTATCACTCGATATGCATTAATTATTGTTGAAAAGTTTCTTTATAAAAGAATATAATTTTACAGAAGATATGTTCGATCGAAGAGAACATTTGATTCGCGATACTACGCGCAACGTTTCGTTCGATGATGGTATTTTCGATTACTTTTACGGCGATTAAAGGGCACAAGAGAACAGGTATTCTATCCATTCATAAGACACGGCGAGGGGAACGCAGTAACCTTGATTCCTCCTCGAAGCTGTCACATCGACACTCGCAACATCCAACGCGGAGATTCATTCGCACGTGATTTAAATTGTTCTACCGTAGACCGAATTAATGGTAGGTCGCGACTCACAGTCATCTAACGCGTGTCAAAATTCACGAAAATAATCGCGACCGTTTTTCCTTCATTGACATTGGGCTTACGATTACATAATCCGTATAATTTCGACGCAACCGAATCGAATAAATGTATTTCTATATTACTCACCATTTTTTCCTTCGACGAAGACCGTATCCGAGCTCCGAAGACACAGCTATGTTGATTATGGATGCACAGAACACGTTACATCGACTTTGACACACTTCTTCCGAATCCTGGAAGACCGGTCGAATATCGTTTTTTCGTGCGAACACAGGCAATCGATGTTTTCGTTGATCGCCACACGGAAGCACTCGCGAATAAAGTAAACTCGATATCGTAACAACGTTAAACGAATGACATTAAAGCACAACAAAACAATCACTCACCGGTTGACATTTAGGAGCATTCTCCAAACGTAACCAACCACTTTGAACGACCGAAACAGACTGGCTGCATCCATCCTCCTTGATTTCTTCGCTGTTTTCGTGAACAGTCGGTAGAGGTCGACACGGTCCGACTGGCGCCATGTTTAACCGCCAATAAGAACGTCTCTTCTTTCGATTGTTGCTCCAATCAGAGAAAACTGACTACGTGCCGAAATTCTCGTTGGAATATCTATGGGGTGTCTACAAATTCTATGGAATGAAAACTACGTTATTTATATCTATAGACAATTATAGATCGAGAAGAAAAATTGTTTCGAATCAAATTTTACACGTTTTAATTTTAACATACAGAAATAATTATATTCAAAGTAGATCTAATAGATCTGCATTTTTTTATCGTTTCTTTGAAAATGTTCAATGCTCTTTATAAAATATATATATAGTTCTTTAAAAATTGCACATTTCACAAGTTTATCACCATATGTTTTACGTTATTTTTTATACAATTTCCGATATCGTACTAAACTGTACAAAATAAAAAGTACAAAAACATCGAAGAAACAAGATTTTCAGATAAAATATTAAATCACCCTATATTATTTCTCTGATTTTACGAGCTGTCTACATTCCCAGATTGTGCTCCTCTCTTCCTCCCCGCAGCCATCGTGCCGCCAAGAAATGCCAGACCATCCAAGTCAATTGTTCTTAAATAATATAAATTGGATACTAAAAGCGTAAGCCAACAGCAAACGAGTTCGAACAAACAATTCGTCTTTCGTTCATGCGATCGAGCGGAACACAATGCACGGGAAAAAAGAACAAAGTGAACGCCCAACTCGATCCTCATTAAATAATTTATCGTGTTTCTCTGAGGCTCTGTCCTTATTTGCTACGTTCAAGATCGTGGGACTCGATCATCCGGTTTTTTATTCTTCGCGTTGCGTGAATAGTTTTCTAAGCTTACGACAAAATAATATAAAGATTTTAAATCGTTTACAAACGTTTCGATAACTAATAAAAAGAAAAATCGAATTATTCATGGTTTAAATAAAAATGATCAGAGTTACAAATAAATATTTCATATACAACTTGTAAATCTAAGGTGACAACAGGTGCATGATAAAGTTCGCGTAAAATTTCATGCACAGCATGACTTGCGAATGGTATCTAATGAACCTTCTGTCCGTGCCAGATGCATCCAATTATCGTTAGATTTCGTGTTGTAGATAAAATTGAAAAAAATATACGTACGAAGCTTTAGAAGTAATCGTGACCAATGCCGCGAAACGGTAACAGTTCGAAAAGTGCAAGTAATAATTTAATTATCAACTTTCGTTCTTACAAAGCACGCCAATTCATTCTTGAATGTTTGAAAGTACGCAAAAAGCTATTTAAAATTATGTTCGTTCAAAAAAAATTGATCAGTTGAAAAGTCGATTGTCGATAAACGCGTCAAGATGAATTTTTGTTACGTCCGTTGTTTTCATACTCTTGTACTTTCGTGGTTAGAAATTTCCCTAGACCCTAGAATGTCAATTTCCACAAATCGAACTAATTATTTTAGACAAACTATGAAAAAATACACGTTTACAGACTCGTTTATGATATAAAATAACGATTGTGTTAAAACTGTTGTAAAATAAAACATTTCGATTCAGTCGTAAAAGTTACCAACTATATACATATATGTATTTGATTCACATGTATTCCATGCAATGGTTTATGCCGCTAGAGCTCGTGGCCGACGCATGACGTTGAAATCAGGAGCAGCGCAGTGTTAATCTGACATCAAAGGAGATTTTTCTTTCGGAGTAGGGAAAAGATCTTTTCTACGACAAATTTCTGTAAAATATTCTTTAGTTTGCTGCGAACTTCTTCGATAAAATGCCGCGCGGTAAGCGCAAAAATTATTATAAGTAGTTTCTTTTCGAAACAATTATCGTCTTCTTGTCCCCACCACATTTGTATTTCAAGGAAAAACGCAATTTCCTAACTTTTGACCTCCAGAAATAAAATTTATTCAAAGTATGATTGTCTTTCAGGTAAATTTGTTAGTCATAAAGGCCGAAATCGTCACTTCACTAACCCCGAGGAATTGGAGGAGCAACGACGCCAGGAGGAAAAAAAACTCCAGTGGAGAGTCAGTATTTTTAGGTTAACCAACAGCACGACGGCTTAGATATTATTGTTAAGTACGTAAGGTCGAAAATTGTCCTTTGATGGTCGTGCGTGATTCCGTACACCGCTAACTGAGATTTTTTCGGAACAATACTCCACGTTGGTCCCAAGTTTCATTCGAGAGACCAAGCACAAGTCTTCAGAAATTCTTAAACATCCTAAGCAATGGGTAGAAATTAAACTGATACATTTTGCGTCTATTTTTTCTTCATATTTATGACTTCAAAAGCATTACTTGAATATTATGTTTATAAGGCTAGTAAATGAAAGTTCAACCAATTTTAGTGAATGATTCGGATGTAAATATTCCAATATGGACTTTTCCAGAAAAATAAAGATGAAGATAGTTCCAGTGACGAAGATGATGAGCCTAAAGCACGAGGCGGCGGTGTTAGATCAAAACATCTGAGTGCTTCAGAAACAGATAGCGAAAGTGAATCGGATTCGGATTCAGAATCTGAAATGCATGTAAGTTGGTTAATTGTTCGATTAGAAAGAATGAACAGATAATTTCTAACTTTTGTTATTTTCAGGGAAAAGCAAAGGGCGTAGAAAACTTAATCCAAGTCGAAAATCCAAATAGGGTACAAAAGAAAACAAAGAAGTTATCACAATTAAATCAATCTCTAGATTCGGCAAAACCAGAATTGTCACGAAGAGAACGGTACGAATTAAAAAAATACATATTTAAGTAATATATAATTCAATGATTTGAAGAATCAGTAAGTATCCTTGTGTTTCTCCTTTCAGAGAACAACTAGAAAAACAAAGAGCTTACGCGAATTATCAAAAACTACACGCGGCAGGTAAAACTGATGAAGCTCGTGCAGATCTAGCAAGATTAGCTATAATAAAACAACAACGGGAAGAGGCAGCGAAGAAACGCGAAGCCGAAAAGAAGCAGAAAGAACTTGCCCAGCAGAAAAAAACGGAACTTACGCAGAAAGCACTCGGAAAAAAGTCCTAGAACATTTAAGCATGAGTCAATTATAAATATTTTATGTCACAGATACAATTACATTAACATAACGAGCAGTTTAAACTCTACTTTCGTATTGATATTAATTGACTAAATGAATTCGCGCATTTACAATATGCGTTTGAGGAAAATATCCTTGTTTGTATAAATATAATTATTACCTTAATTGAAACCGTATTCGCATTTTTATCAATTACCCCATTTCATTGTACACGCGATGTATTTTGCGTAAATAGTTCGGTAATTTATACAAAAGCGTATAGAAGATAATTCAGTTCACCTAAAATTAGTCGTTAGTAGCGATATTGATACGAGCAATATTATTAAAATATTAAATAATCTGAACTATTAAAGCTCGTGCAAGATAGTCGAGTACATTCATTTACGAAGTTCAAAGGTTCAACTCTCTACATAACTACGGTATTGAATGCGCGAACAAGTCGAACAGAAGATTCAGTATAACTTGTGCGGTCGAGTTGTCACGATGTGGGCAGATGTGATTTACGTTGCCGCCTTATTATTTTGTGTAGTCATTGGATTTTATTATCGACAGATTCCCGATCCTCAAGTTAAGAAATGGATGGGTACAATTATCGGCTTTATAGTGGCTAGAATTATTTCTGGAAGTCATGTACTTCATCTTTTAATTAGTACCCTGATTAACGCGATTATCATAACCAAGCTCTCGCCAAAGTATGATACATTAATTGATTTTATCATTTAATTAGCTTAAAAGACTTTCCTCGTATTTATCATTATGACTTTATCAATGAAACTGTTACAATGATATATCTGAATTTCTACAGATTATTTTTGCCATTTCGTAATTGTCAAATATAATCCGCAGAGTGATGTATTCTGCATTATTGATTCAGAATAATTTAAAATTATACGTTGCAAGCAATTTAAAAGTAACTTACAAATACGAATATGTAACTATGTCTCAAGACTCCTATAAGAAATAGTTACCTGTTACGTATTACATTACAGATAATCACAATTTCATCATTAGGTGTTAATGTTGTAATTACAAATGTTTAAAAGTATAGATGTAAAATTGTATTGTTTTTTTTTTATACTTTAAAAGTTTATCAAAACCATTAATTTCCTTTTAAACAATTTGAAATTATTGTTTACTTACAGAATATGTCATGCGGTCAGCATTTTTTTTTCATTCTTCTATCTACTTGTTATATTTCGATTAGGAGATTGGGTTGGTTTACCAACACCGCCAACCCATACGAATCTCATGCTTATGATATTAACACTGAAGTTATCTGGACTAGCTTTCGAAGTAAATTCAGCTACTAATCCGCCAACCGATGATCCAGAAGGAGTGAGTTCTGAAGCTTTAAAAAATATTGGATTTTTGGACGTATTTCATTATGCTTTTAGTTACATGGGACTAATAACTGGTAAGTTTATGATATAATGATCAATTTGTAATTGGTTTTATCGTTGCAATAGATTAAACGAATCAATTTTTTTTACAGGTCCATACTATCGATACAGAACATATTGGGATCATCTGCATAGACCATTTTCTAAATATGTAGATCCTTGGCCTCCTACGCTTTATAAACTAAAACTAACTGCATGCTTTATCATATTATATCTTATAATGAATGCATTATATCCCAGCAAGGTAATTCATATTTTGTTTAATATCAGACATACAAAGCATTATCAATGATACAGTTTTTTCTGTATGTATAGTACATTTTAACAGAGGAGTTTGCAGAACGCTCTTTCCTTTATAGACATCTTTACATGTATCCCACATTTGCCACTTTTCGATTAAGGATGTATGTTGGTATGACACTGGCTGAATGTGCTTGTCAAATGGCTGGACTTGGGGCATACCCTACAAAATGTCGTCCTATACAAGGATTGGGACCAAAAGATTACAAAACCATTGAAATGCTGTGAGAATAGTTTCCTCCTACCAGACCAGACATACCTCCTTTAATTAAAACAAATATAAAATAATAAAGTTTTACAGATCTACTACACCTGAGAAATTGAAGAACGAGGAATTCAGCTTTGACACGATACACAACATGAATATCTTAAAATTAGAAAAGTGTCAATCAGTAAGAACAGCTATGAAAGCATGGAATGGTTGTATTCAATATTGGATGGGTGTTTACGTATACAAAAGATTCCCAGTGAAATGTTTAAGAACTATCGTTACTCTCACACTCTCTGCAGTGTGGCATGGTTGGGCACCTGGTTACTTCTTTTGCATTTGTCAAATTCCACTTTTCATGCTGACCGACGACATAGCTATGAAATTTTATAACCAAAGCGAAGAGAACAGCCTTGTATGTTCTATATATTTATAGCACTTCCTCAACATTACCGATTGAAATTTATCCATTTTCTTTTCCAGGCTAAGAAAGCATGGTACATGCTTTTATGGTATGAAAAAACAACCTGTATGGCATATTTAGGGACGTCTTTCCTATTATTAGGTTTCCATGAAACTATGCACTATTACAAAGTCGTATACTTCTCTGGACACATTGTGGCGCTTCTACTTTATATCAACGTTCTTTGTCTTAAGCATTTCGTCTTGAAAAGAACCGCGGAGAGCAAGGACAAGGACAAATAGGCTGTGATCCTTTTGCAAAGGACTCAAAATATTTTGTAAATTTAACACTTGAAATTATGTATAATACAAAGTTTAAATATAAAAATTAGGTCAATTAAATTCTTCTAAAATAGCATAGGTTGTCTTTGAAAATATGAAATTGTTTAAATTAGATGATAAACATGTAATGTCAACAATTAAAATATCTATTAAAGAACATATATTACATACTATTGTTAAACTAGTCAACTAATAAAATAATGAAGGTATTTTGGCATCATACTCTTTCAAGTGCTGTCTCAACAGAAAACAAAAGTTTTCCTCGAATATTTCGAGGATTGCTACACATTCATTTATACGAACAAGTAAATTAGAAATAAAGAGTTCTATTTCTTTGATAAGATAATCTTTATTTACCATACCCCCTCCACACATTCTCTACAATGGCTTAATACTTTTCTGAAAGAGAAAAAAAGCGAAAAAAAAGAAAAGAAAAAAAAAATGTGATTTACATATCATCATCTTACCTCCAGAATACTTACTATACCAAGGTTCGCCGATACCTGAAAAAAAAAAGAACAACACAGAAAAAGCAAAAGGATCTCAACCCCCATCCTTATCATTCCCAATTATATGTGGCGGCAAGTGTTCTAAGCGATGATCACAAAATTAAGATCTGACCAAGTTTGAACGAGGATAATAGTTGTTACATGAATATTCATTTCAAAGCTATTAAAATGAAAACTAGAATAATTAAGTCTCAGACGCAAAGGCAATATTTTTCATTAAATACGATAACTTTAAAAGGAAGTCAGATAATAACGATAAACTCTTAAGAATCGGAAAATATTTGTAACTCGATACGCTGATTTTAAGTACGAAGGTCGACGGTAAACGAATTCAAAATAAACTTGCAAGTCAGACCTATACCAGCTGGAAAGAAAATACATGCTCAATTTTCTAACGAACCCTTGTTGTAAATGATCTTATAAGAAACGCGAAGCAATTGATAGACAACAGTTGAAATGTCGTTGCTCGCGAGGTCTGGTGATGCTCACGTGCTACCTGCAAACCGGACGATGATCGAGACCAGCAACCTTGTGGGTTTAGTTGTGTTCTCAGCGTATTTCTCTGTGCTCGACCGTACCCTCTGCGATTTCTGCATGCCGACCCCCCAGAGAGACAGCTTTCGCTCACACACTTTCTCTCTTTTTCTCGCCCTGATCGACTCGCGAACCTGCTTTCACCAGACCACCAACCGCTCGCTACTGCAAACTGCTTACAGCCCTGCTACTCGGCTTACTGCTTACTCTCAGCTACCCCATCATCGGCTACACTCGCCACGCCACTCCTTTCCACCGCCTGTGGCACCATAAAATTACAACTTAGTTATAAGGAATAAACGTGTTACATCCGTGTGTGAGGAATTTTTATCTTTCTTTTCTTTCTCTCTCTCTTTTTTTTTCTCTTGGAAGATATTGACGTTCAATTAATTGTACATGATTAAAAGCTACATTACCTTAATTCCTATACATTATTCAATGCATGATTATGTTTTATAAAATGTTCAACGAAATTAGTGATATTTAGGCATAAAAATTGAAATACAAAATTTGTTCTCTTTTAAATACGTATGCATAAATCGCACCAATCCTATTATTAATTCACAATTGACATTGTGAGTATTACAATCCTTTTATTTTTACATATTAAGTACGTGCGAAATTATATGTTTTCATTGATGATATTGTTTCACAGATGAATAATGAATGTTAGAAGATTGTATTAAAAATTGAAAGGAGAATTAATTTATATTTACATATTTTACATTTAATCGAGCTACTGTCTGAAGATTAATAAAGTTTCTCCTCAAAGCTTTAAGAATAAACGTGCAAAATGATTGTTTAGTTAACACATTTCAAAGTAATACAAATAATTTACCACTGTTCTCGTAGTAATATCTACACCTATATTCTTAGCACGTAAACACTGTCTAAAACTATGCGAATAGTTCCGTCTTCTGCATTTAATTATACTTTATTATAAATGGCAAACTTACATAAATAAACCTGTATACTATTACAGAAACGCAGAACTTAGTCTACAAATTTGTATGTATCATGAATTTTAATTTCTTTCTCTTCCTTTTTCTAATGTTTAGCATTTATCGAGTTTTAATTGTAAATAATAGAAAATTAGAGAATCATCAAGATTTAAAAATTTCGTTTAAAATTTGTACAGAAGTCGGACTCGTGTCGACCACATACATTTTACATTACCTGCTAATTACCACTAAACATCAACACCCTTATGCATTTCCAGGAATATTAAATCCACGTTGCTCGGTTCGAACAATTTCGTAATGATGGAAAACGATTACACAATTTCGAAACAGTTGCTTTCCTGCTATTATACCCACATATGCAACATGGTTTAAAAACAGTTACAACACGATTCGAGAAAATAAAAGGGAAAAGAACGAATTTCTATTCACTTATAACTCACTTATATCGACAATGTACTAGAACTTGTGCACGCTATTATTTTTTAATGTAAGACAAAAACGTTGTATCATCAAACTAATAACAATTTTATTTATTGATAGAGTGTAAACTCAAACGTTCTCTGTTCCGTTTTCGAAGTTGGAAAAAATAAAAAATTCTTGAAGAGTAGTAACAAACATGAAGTATAGTGCAAGTGCATATTTTCGAAATTATTAATAAGATCGTAACGAATTTCATATCTAATCACAAGAACAAACTGTTTCAGTCGTTATACAACAGCGTTCTTAGACGCGAAAGCAAAAGTACATTTACTTTTCTTCGATCGAAATAAGTATTACTTTAGACAATATCGCTTAACAAAGTTAGAATAATTATGAAAATTTTCAAATGAAAATCTTTATGAGTCCATTAAACTCACAGTCTAAATACAATTACATTAAAATTAGTTTGGGTTTCTATATTTTTTTTGTCCTTTTTTCTTTTCAACCCAAGAAAGTGCGTTGTCATAATTAATATGTAAGTGAGAAGAAATGTGAACGTGCGACAGTGTTGCTCTAGGTATAGAGGGTAATAGAATACCTTTTTGTTCTCAAGAAACGATTATTCTGCACTCGCGGCGCGTGCATCTGTTCACAGTTGTACTCGCATATGGTTCAATTACTTCAGTCCCTGTAAAAGAACAATACATACATGAGTATTTAATTGTAAAAAGAAATCGCATAATTATTCGATTACATTATGATCGCTAACCTCGACTTGGAACGACTGTCCTTTTGTCTATCAGGAGACTTGCTGCGGGAACGAGATTTTCCACGAGAACTCTTACTATCGGAACGCGAGCGGCTGCGACTACGGCTGTATGATCGCCTACGATCTCTGTCTCGGCTTCTTGATCTACTACGCGATCTAGAGCGGGAACGTCTCCGATCCCTGCTTCGGCTGCGTGATCTATAATCAATAAATAGTGACTCGGTAAGAAATGTAAATGCATGCCTAGAAAGTATCTAGTAGGATCTAGTAGCGTAGATCTGCGTAAGATATATTACCTTCCACGACGACGACTACCACGGCTACGATGTGGAGACGTTGGCCGTCCATAACGTGCCATTTGAACTCTGAGTTCCCTACCGTCTAACAATCTTCCATCCATCGCGTCTAACGCGTCTTCTGCATCTCGTTTATCGTAAAATCTGAAATAACGATTTACTACGATGAAAATAAAATAGTAACGATACGCGAGTATCTAACACAACGTTTGTTGGTATCTATAAGCTGTACTATAGCTACTTCAAAAATAATGACGTCATGCTTATGTATTACCAATACGAAAACTCATAGATTACAAAAGGCGAAGAAAAATATATTATCGACGTACCTAACGAATGCAAATCCACGACTTTCTCGAGTAAAGCGATCTCTGGGTATATAAATATCACCAACTTCGCCACATCTTTCGAACACGCGTCTGAGGTCTTCCGGCGTCGTTCTGTACGTGAGATTATCGACCTTAAGAGACACCATCCCGTCGATTCGAGGCGGTGGTCTGCCGTAACTCATTTTTTCAAGCTTCTCGAGACACTCGAAAAGGGTGAAAACAACACTTCGATCACAGAAATCAGTTTCGGATCAAACAGCACACGTCCACGCACATCGAAGACAAGATGGCGAGTGGCGGAAGAACGAGTTTCACGCGCAGTACGCTTGGAAATGACGTACATAGAGTGGCTTACTACGTGACTCAAATTTCTTTCGGTACAAAATCTTCCTTTCGTTCAAATCATTTTTAATTAATCTTTCAAATAGAAGATTACTATTGTATTAATTGTACATGTTTATATTAAATACTCGAAACGAAAATCATTTATGATCCTATCCTTGTCAAAATCGGGATTTCGTATGCATGATATATTTCAAATATAATTTTGTTTAATTTACTTCAATTTTTTAATACGAATATTAATTTTATTACTTTCGTTGCAATTTAAATCTATATTTTACTAAAATACAAAATAAACTGATTTTCGTGCCGTGTCAGAAACGAATTGACTCGTATCGTTCGCTTCCGGTTAAATTCAAATTCATAGATGTTTATCAAAGAAGAAGAAAACTGCTCGAATACGGCAAATTTTAATTATACAATAATTAAATGTAAATAAGAGTAAATGCATTATTGTTTTTTTTTATTTTTATTTTTTATTTAAGTTTCAATGAAGCTGCATCTGTGATATCACAACAATGCCCTTGCACAAGATGCTCCCCAAAATAATGAATGTCAACATCGCTTAAAAATCCTCGTTACGCCAACACGTTACAGCTTCGATCGTTTTACGCATTTATAAAAACGAATCGTACCAACCGTAGAAAGGGCAAACGCAATTATTGTTGTACATTTTGGTCCTTTGCCCGCCGACTGCCTGTATCTGTTGCTTTCGCGTTTGTGCGCGAATCTCGATTCACGAAATTCCCATAAAAATAGTGAAAAAAAAAGACAGAGCGAAAAGAAAGGAAGATAGACAAACGTTCTGGCAACAAATACAGTTCGTGCAATACTTTTTGACTTAGCTAGGCGGTAGGCACACAAAAAAATAAAGAGACGTCGAGTGATCGCATTTTCTCTCTCTATTCTTTTTCATTTTCTATATTTTTATTTTTTTCAATTTTTATATTATAATTTTTTTTCGAAAAGACTCATCAACGAACCATGGGACAGAATCGCGGACACGTATACGAAACATCGTCTTCGAATTAAAAAAAAAAGGATGTCAAAATAATTTCCAACAAATCACATAGCAGCCCAATAAATAGCTTAAAATGTCTAACAAAGTTCTTATCGTTATAAATACAAAAAAAAAGAACGAAGGACAGAAATAGATCGTCGCTGGAAGGTATACAAAGATTAATTTCCGAACGAACAGAAACAAGAAGTGAAAAAGAAGAGAAAAGATAGAGAGCAAAAGCAATAAAATTTGTCAATTCGATTAAACAGAGTAAAGAAAATATTAGGTACACTTGTCATGGGAGGTTTCGCGTAATATGCTTCAATAATCATAAATTAAAATATCCCAACGATCTAACAAATGCATGATCATACTTGAAGAAGCGTTACTATACGTATTGTTATGTATACAAAGTATTTCTGTTTTGAATTTAAGTTTCGTTGGATAGATATTCCGTAATTCCGTGTCGCTCTCTTCATGACGTATATACGTCTTTTCAAGTATTATCATACATTTTCGGATCACCTTGTATACCCGAGTGCAATATAGGCTTCTTTTTGTTTCGTCGAAAGATGGAAGGAATAACTTTGCATTGCTGTGAATTTTAGAAAGCTATCGAAAAAATCTAGAGAACGTCTGAGCACATTTTAAGAGAGTCCAGGATTTTAGAGGGAAAACCTACAGTTCAGAAAGAAATTTCTAATTGAAGAAAAAGTCGCACCTTATACTTTCCCTGAACTAAAGGAAGCCTAAATTGCGCGAAAATGTACATATACATATATCGGTATGTATAAAGTAAAAGTTATGAAAGTCGATCGTGCGGGGTTTAATACGATTAATTCAAAGACGGAGGGAAAAAAGAATCGAATAATTTCGCGAAATGTACTTCGAGAGCGAACTTGGGCGACGCGACGTCTCTTCAGGGTGGACGCGGGCATCCGTGGGCGTGTGACGTCGCTCCGTTCAAACCTCCGCTTACACTATTTACTATTCAACAATTCAAAATACTTATAATGATACACACAACCTTGAATAATCTCAACAGCTGCTGGCCTTAGCCCAAACTAACTTATTATCGTAGATCCATGGATACAAAAGTAATATTTTCTTCGTAAATTTCTACGACGCTCATTTATGTTATACATACATACATACACACATACATACGTACATCATACACACACACATACATACATACATACATGGACGCATATACATATACACATATATATGTATATGCATATGCATATATATATATATAAATCTTCGATTAAGTTAGTTTCCGGCTGATCAAAACTCTTAACACTTTCACAATCATTAGAAATTGTTTCGTTATTTTATTTTTATTTCTCTTTCATTCCCTCTCTCTCTCTCTCTCTCTCTTTTACGCTCGTTACTAGCGTTTTTATTCAGTTCCACCTACATATATGGTTTGTATGCAAAATATGTAATCAGGGCACTCGCAATCATCAGTCGCATGCGTTTCATTCCTCCTTTCTTTTTATCTTGAGAAACGGAATGCTTCTTTCTCGTTACTATTCCATATTTTCTGTTATTCTTAACGAATTCTCTGTTACGCCAAATTTTGATGAAAATTTTATTTAACGCTGTATATACTGACGAGCACCGGGCTCTTTCTTCTAACTCGTTATACATTATCTAAAAGAAGTGTGATGTTCAAAATATCAAAGTATTTAAAATACTAACTGACACGGAGTTCATCAATGACGATATTCGAATAATCGTAGAAGAAAAAAGTCACCGTTTTAAACTACATTAATGAAATAAATCGATGCACAACAGAGAACTCGTTAAGAAAGAACACAGTGAAACGCATATCTCTCATCAGCTGCTGTACATTTAATTCTCTCGGCATCACGTACGATAACCATTATTTCGCGATTTAATTTATCCGTTATTTAATATTACGTTTCGATATAAAAATAATACTCAGTCGATTAGTACAGATTTAATACTCAGTGTAAGAACTGGGGAAGGGGTCTTGGCGCTCCCATGTACCGCTTCTCTATTATTTATCATTTTCACTTATGCTTAAGTAAGTTTCACGTTACGATGTATGAAATTTATTTATGTATGTTGCTATGTAAATGTATGTGTGACTTAGAATTTCTACCGAGGAACCCGGTGAAATCAGAAGATTCACGGTCGTGCAGACGGACGGAACAGTGCTGCGAGTAATGATTTCTCGACGAGCAAAGAGTGTCTTCATCCTTTTCTCGTCATTCGCGAAAACCCCTTCTCTTTATCATGTACAATTATGCATCTTACGCTTCCTTTGTGTATGTATTTCTTTCTTGCCCTCTTTCGTCCTAGACACTTCCGTATACGATTATTCTAACGATCCTCGTACTTCGTGGTACTTCTTAGCCATGGAGTTCACTCTTGAAAACGTTCCAACGCGATGGTAAAAAATTTCAACAGTTGGCGAGATAAACTTCACCACTCGCTAACTTTTCATTCAGCTTATTATCAAATTTCAAAGGGCGGAATTCCATAAATTTCGGAATTTCAGAGATTCGCGAGTTTATATATTTGGACGTTCTTCTCTGCACTCGTCTTAATCGACAAGAAAACAGTTTATTTGTTTGCAATATCTTAAATTCAATGATCTTTATCGAAATGTGATAAACTTTTTTGAAAATTTAGTATTATTTACATTCAGGCAAATTTTACAAACAATCTCGGTATAAAATGAGTTTGCGATATAGCCGCTTTAAAAGTGCCATCATGGCGAAGAAATACCTCGTACACGATTTATTCAACTTTCGATCCATCTGCAGTTTTCTCGCCGGTTATTGCTAAATATTACACCTGAGAGACAGTTGTTACGATACCGACAAAGTCAGTTCATTTTTTCGACGCTAACAACACCTTACTAACCGAAAGCGTAGACCGAAGATTCGTTCAATTAATCATTTCTTATGATTAATAGAAATTTGTTTACAACAAAAATAGACATTTCTTTATAATACAGAATACTTAAGCTTCATTAAATTTAAGTACGCTAACATTTAATTTACGACACAAATTATTTGTTCGAATTTAGTTTTGTACAAACGGTAAGTAAGATGTTAAGCAATACAGAGGCACGCGTTTTACCGAGATGAAGGTAAACCGAATGGATCGAAAGCGGATAGATTTTTTCTGTTTGTCGTTAAACATTCGATCGGACAACAGGTGGCTAACAGATTCCATCTGTAATTTTCTATATACATCGAATACTCGTACATACACGCGTGTACAGGATGCTCAGGCACGATTAAACTAATTATTATTATCATCGTCGTCGATCATTCGCTTACAAAATTTTGTAATCTGACGAAATCTCTAGGTGGAAGGCACCTAAAAAAAGCATTGACCGTCCGCATCGTCGTACCGCGTTACAGAAAACAAGAATGGGAATTACCATACGCGCAATGCCTGATCGTACCAACTGTAGTAACCGTTTGTTAAATGAGCGTCCATTGAATGAACATCTGGACAATCTTTGTTCGATATGTAAGGTCATTTAGCAATCGGTTATTGTAACGTGTTTTCGCGATGAAAAAAGAAGAAAAAGAAACGAGAGAGAAAATCCATAATAATAATAATAATAATAATAATGATAATAATAATAATAAGAATAATAATAATAATAATGATAATAATAATAATAAGAAGAATAAGAATAATAATAGGAAGAAGAAGAAGGAGAAGAAGAAGGAGAAGAAGAAAGATAGAAAGAAAGAGAGCGAGACTCGTATAAAGTACAATATAGAAACAATAAATTAAGCCAGTCGTTGCCAAAATATGTCTTACATAAACGTCGGTGCAAAAAACAGAGAATACAATAAATTACAGTTTAAATAATATTCGGGAAAGGTCGCTTATGTAAAAATAGACGTACAAAAACGAGGAGCAAGGAACTCGGGTAAGGAAAAGGAAGGGGTTCGAACGAGAAGGTAGGGAGATAAGGATAACTAAATAATTTAATAATTAAGTAAGACAAATCTCGCCGTCGGGGATCCATAATTAAGTAGTGTTGGTTAAAAACTCTTAACAACTAAAATCAAACGCGTAGAATACTGATACATAAAAAAAGAAGAATCTATAAGAAGCCTCAGCTTTTTTTTCTCTTTACCATGGTTAAAAACGAACCGTATCGAGTGGCGGTCTTGCAACTAAATCGTATAAAAAAAAAGAAAAAAAAAAAAAAGAAATATTATCATTATCGTTTAATCAATCGATATTAATAATATACGTATAATTAGCAATACTCGATTCCTCGATTCTAGTAATTATAAAAAATATCCTCTAAGTTTCAGAATTAGTAGAGAGCTCAAACCTAATTCTACTTACGCGCCTACGTTGGTAATAATACAAAAAAAAATATATATATATATATATATATATAAAGATAATAATAGTTAGGTTTTTTTTGTTATTAAACAAGCTACGGAGAGCCAAATATAACTGAGAAAAAAATGCCTAACGAAGAAACTGTCCATTGCTGTCTTCTTCCTATCAATGTTATTCATAAATAAGTTCGTTCTCTTCACGTATGGTACACTTAGAAATGGTATGTTACAATGTTCTGTCGACAGAATTTAAAACTGACGGTTTAAGCCTGATCAAAAGTAAGGCTGTACATTACTTTAATCAGTGATTACTTTCAATTTCATTCCCTATTAAAGGAAGGAGATACGTTAAGCCTAAACCTGTGTCACGTACCCTTTAAATAAATATTTCACTTAAAAATGATAGAACATTTAACTAAATGAAATTTGATTTGCAGTCAATCGTGTCAAATTCGATACATGATGTTCAGAAAGAATTCGCTAAATAATATTTTTTAAAATAAATAAATTCGTTCAGACTTATTTAAAAGATACGCTCATTCTCAACCCGACTGTAACACAGATGTGTCAAATACATACTAAATGGAAGGATCATTTTGACGCATGAGAGAAAAGTTTAGCAATCTGTTATTCCTGTACGGATCTCACCAGAGTGAAATCTCATCGTACTTTATACCTCTTTCTCCGATACTCGTGTATAATATCAAGATACCACGCTTTCGATATCATTCCTTCTTGAAGTAAGTTAAATATTAAGTAAAAGCAACGCACTGTTCTCCATTATGCAGATTGTTATCGGTTAAACGAGTTATTTTCTATTAATTTCAAGCGAGAACAGATTATTCGAATAACTATTATACAGAAGAAATATCTGTTAAAATTGTAAAATGTAAAGAATATATAAAGGAATGATACTGATATCTGGTATCGTCGGTACTCGTATAACAGTATACAATAGTATATTTGCATGTGTGTATGTGTACGTGTAAATGTGTACTTGTAAATATATATTTTTACGAGTATTACGTATATATATTTACGAATGTGTTCATAAGGCTCCTTTGATAACGACTAAATCTAAGATGCTCCACAAAGTTACTGTAAGCGAATTTAGAAACTCTACGATGCGACAATATCAAGAGGTATCACTGATGAAAAAGAATTATAAAGAAGAGGAAAACGAAGGAGAATGTAAATGCTGTGTATGACATGAAAGAGAAAGATAAAACGTTAATTTTAATCGTATGCCCTTAACTATATTCTATGTTACATAGACTAAATCTATTTTTGGCAAAGTTGTTTAGGTATACAATGTTAGGTATAACGATACATGAGTAGATGCACTGGCCATCGTATTATGGTGATATTTAACGTTGCTTAATATCTGTTCGTTAACGCGTGAACTGTACATTCTGGAAAAACAGATCAGTGATAGCCCTTAAAATATAAAGAGATGAATTATTAATTGACAACAAAAAGAAACATCACAGCTTCATCTATACTGTTCAACAACCAGTAATTTTATCTATCTACAACGAGATTTCTTTTTTTCTGCTTCCCTTTAATAATACAGATAAAATTAAGTAGATTCGAAGAAGAGATTCGAAAGATTGTAGAGTTCGTGGAAACCTACAGCAACTGTGGAGCAGTAAAATTTGTTACTTTTAACGTCTGGCATACGAATGAATGTTATCTAAGTATTACTTCCTGAAATTCTTGTATGTTTAATAATTGTCGTCGAGAGAGCACGTTAACGAGTATTGTATGACGACAATTTATCCTACGTTCCATCGCGTTTCTTATTGCTTTCGGAGTCTTAGCTTATTATGGTGGTGTGCCGCTTGCCTATTAAGTACAAATTATTGGCGACCGTGTGAACGGTCAAGAAGCCTTCGAGACAGAGACAAAAAAAAAAAATGTAGCGTCGAGTGCTGGGAAGGAGAGAGGGGAGAATACATAATTGGTAGAAAGAGTATTAAATGTGTTTACACCGGCAGTCTCGTGCTCATGTAAAAAAAGTACCTACGTCATCTAAATTAAGACTTTATCTGCAAACAGATTATCTGCACTTACTGCGCGAGATAACAGCTAAGAAAATGGGAAGAGAGAAGAGTTAAATCGCTGAAAGGCCACTAGAATACGGTATTTAAAATGATACTGGCATGAACGTAATTTGGTAATGCTCGAATTAACCGAGCACGCGTCGGATATCTTTCAACGAACATTTGTCACGTCGTGCAACCGTTTTCTGTTCCATCAGTTTCCTCCCGTTCTTAAAGTCGATTCACTTGGGTCTGTTTTTTAGCTTAAATATTACGCAAAAATAACGAGACTATCATGATTGTTACTTTTCACTGATAGCTAAAAGCCCGTGGAACAAAACGGTTTAATTTTCTTCACTAATTATTTTCTTTAGTGACAAATCTTTTTTCATCTCTAATTCTAAGCCTTTCCGAACAATGATCTAGCACCGTTCCAACAGAACGTTCACTGGTCACTGATTTTCTTACGTTGCTAAGAAAACAGACAACGACCACCATTTCTTTCAACGCGAAAAATACGTGCGACACCGAAAGAACAATTTGCGCGTGTATGTACAACGATCGCCCGTCGCTCTCTAGTTGCAAGCATAGAAAATTTTGTATAAAAATATTCTTCATATTCGTGTATATATATGTACATATTTTGAATAACCACGTAATTAATACTGCGTATTTAATATCATCGTTCCTTCGTGCGCTCTGCACCACGGGCTTGGTAGCTCAAGGGACAACAATTTATCCCAAAATTCTACCACCTCAAATTCTCGAGACCGTGGAGAAAATAAAGGAGAAAAAAAGAGAGCTCGAAAAAGGATTATGGACGAGAATCAGTGACAGAAAGGAGAAGGAGAAGAATCTCGTCTTCTACACCCTGCGTATCACCGGACAGACTATTCTGTCTACAGATTCTTCGTTTCATATATACCTAGTAGAAGTCGTTTCCAAGCTGGCAGAAGAATTTTCAGTGCGCTTCTTCGGATAACGACGTCGCAACTAGGTTTAACGGTACGTCCGAAACATTCTCTGTATCTCCTTCTTCTGTGTCTTCTGTGTCCGCGGATAAATGACATTGTTCTCGCCCTTCCGTTTTCACATGCTATTCAAAAATTACCATTTCAATCAGAACTAAGTTTTTTATAAACCAAAGATCATAAAAGTCATCGTATACTTACATGCATCATGTAACTTGGTAAAGGAAGAGAGTAATTAAGTTGACTGGCTACTACCGGTGGATGAGCTCCAGGTATACGTGGTGGCGTTAATGCTGCCATCATCAGATGGGGTTGGATTTGTCGTCGAAGTGCAGCTAACATATCTGCACTTTCCGCATCCATTTGTTCCGATTGCGGTGTTAATATCGCGTCACCCTTTTCTAATAAATATTCATTGTTCAGAGAAAAGAAAACATGCAGTCGAAACATTGGAAGAAAGATAACTGCATTGAAATAACTAGGATTTTTGTTTGCGTTGTGTTCATTCAGCAGCGTTAATATGGTCAACACTCGAGCAAGAATGATCGAGTAGCTTCGCAAAAAAAAAATTTGAAAATTTAAGGATTTGAAAATCTGAAAGATTGTAACTAGGAAAATTTTGTAATTTCTGATACGAGATATTCTCACCCTAAGCGAGGAGAATCAGTTCGTATTTTGGAATGGCCAGACCTATTCTGGTCCCTATTATTCCAATGTGGGTATAAACTTACTTCTATGCCTTGTCGGTTTTTCGCCCTTGGGTCTACGTCTACGCGTATGTATCGTGTCCCTTCGCATGGTAACTGGACGATTCACTCCGTGAAGTTTGTAATATAGCCCGCAAGCGTTACAAACGATTTCACCCTTCATGTTTCTTCTCCAAATGGTCGTGGTCATTGTGCCACAATTTGTGCAAGACATATCTACCTTTTTTGCCATATTAGCTGGATGCTGATCAAACTGTTTAGAATCTTCTACCTACGATAAGAAGAAAGTAAAGAAAACTACGTTTCGGACACCATATATTTCAATATCATAATTTTTATACGATTAGTGTCTTATAGATCGCACCTTTACTTTCATTTTGCTTGACCACGTTGTGAAGTCTTGTGCTTGTTCTTCGTTAGATTCATGTTGGTAATTGATATCTGGGCTCATCGGAGCTTTACTGGGATAACTTTGCTTCCTACGACCCTTAGTCTCTTTCCGACCAATACTGGCAGGGCTGGATGGGTTACTGTCCACGGAAGTACCCTAAATACATAAGCAAATACATTTATTATACCTGTATTGTGACCATGTTAATATTTTCAATAAACAAAATTGAAGTACAAACATGAAATGTTTGTTAATCAAAAGTCGGAGAGTACAGATACTAAGAGTAAGAGGATACGGTAAAGTAGCAGCAATTCCCTGTAGGTACCTGTTATCAGGACAAAAAGCTAACAGAATGGAAAGTAACACAAAGAATGCGCTAGTCCTGTTTCTTATTATAGGAGAAATTGAAGAATTCCTCACGCGGAACAAAGCACGCTTTAAAATCTATAGAGACCCAACTTATCTGAACATCTGTTAACAGCGGGTTGACATGGCGGGCTTAGCGCTTATGGCCTATCACAAAGAGGTTCTGAGTTATCTATTATCTACAAGGCCTACCACGTTTCTTACCTGCAGGCAGATGGGACCTGAATAGCCCCAAAGGGATCCCTTGACACCCAAGGGTCACCTGACCTGTCTTCTTTTCTATACCTGCAGTTCTCTTCTAGCATTTGCACTGAACAAACTGCAAGGACTTCCCATGGAAGAGAACTTTTATTTGCGCGGTGATCAGGATCAAAAGAGTACGAGCATAAAAGAGTAAAGATTTTCCGTGAATCTCGGAATTCTATTTAAACATAGAACTTTGAAGAAAAAAAAGACAATCGGCTAATATTGTACATTTCATTAATGTCTAATTAGGATTTAGTAACTTGAAAATATGTTTGGGAAGCCCTAGAGAAGAATGCAGAAGAAAAGATTTTACGATTTCTTTCAAGTGCCCTTAACGTTAATTGTATAAAATAATGATTTCAGTATAAAAATTGCTTAAAATTATACAAACCTTGTTCTCTATACACGGGACATTAGTACGATTTCCGAGTACAGAACAATCAGGTACAGTACGTTCGATCGTTGTCCCTTGAGTGTCCCTGTAAAATCTAATTTGTGGTGATACTCTGTCGGAATCAACAGTAGTAATACCGATTTGTCTGTTGTTGATTAAAGAACGCAGCAGATTAGTTGCTTCGCCGGTAAATCCATTATTTAATTTGTCACCATTTGTCCTTGTAATCTCTAAACTCCTGTTGCTATATGAAAGCAAAAACAAAAAACAGACATGTTCTTCCAGTTCTATAAAAATGCAACGATAATAACAATAGGCATACGCGATCAACGGTAAACAATCTTTTACTCTGTTATTTAGCCTAATATTGAATGACCACAAGTTATCTTATCTTCAAAGAAACACCTGTTATAAGTAGCAGTTTCTTTGGTAATCCAAAACGTAAATATGTGTTAAGCATACAAAATGTCTGTTTGAATAATCTTCACGAGTGATAAAATGAACCAAGAGTAAGGGTCTGTACTTGAACTATAAAACTGTTCAAATATATTTTCATCAAACAAATAAGAACACTCAAACAAAAGGTTGTTACTTATTAAATCTACATTTCCATCAATGACTACATCAGAAAAATTCCTTTGCAGATAAACATAAAATAAACAAATTAAAAATATGTTACTTACTTTGCTAATGCCTGCCACAATTTTGTTGTTTCCTGATCAATATTTGTATCCGAACAATTGCTTTCGGGTGTATCCATTCTATTTACTGGGCTATGATCCGGGGTATTCGGTTTTGATTCCTCATAATTTGTTTCCACTTTCATTCTCTTATTAATGGTCATATCATAACCATTCTCTTCTCCCTCTGTATCTTGTTCATCTCGATCTTCTATTTCCAATCTGTCTGGATCAGAACTGTTTGAATACGTGTCATCTTCAGGTTCACACTTAATGTTATCATGATCAGGCATGTCATTGGCACGCAACTCCAAATGATGCGTTTGTGTCTGAGGTATAACGTTTTGATTAATGCTGGCCGGAGAGTTAGGCTCCTCATTGAACAATGTTTTGTTCAATTGGAGAAACGACTGTAGTGGGCTTAAGCCTGCTACTTTGGCAGTGGAGAAAGACTTCTTCTGGAACAAAGTTAATTATTATGTTTATACCTTTTTAAAAACTGGTTGAATTTATTTCTTGAATTTTAATATTCATATTTTACACTTTTTCAGGATCATCCTATAAAACAAATAATTAAATACACAAATTTTGTTTATAGCCTCATTAGTATCAAATTGGTAAGGTTACAATTGACTGTGTTGCAGGAAACCTTGTAATCTTTTACATAATTGCTAATATGTCATAAAAAAGAAGTAAATAAATTGTATCCTATATCTATTACAAATCTGTTTGGAATATATATATACCCAAGTATTCTTATCTACAATCAGATGTTGCACATTCTGAATTACATCATTACTTGGAATGAAATGACTGCTCATTACTCACTATAACTTCTGTATTCGACTAATTTCTACTATTTAATCAGAGGATGATATGATTCATATTCAATAGCAACATTTATCAACAAATTCAAGCACGTGAAAAGTATAAATGTAAAAACATTTAACCAATACCTGATCATCGTGTGATGATAATTGCTTGGCATAATCCAGGTACTGTTTGAGTATGACATCAGATTTGTGTGACACTTCACGGAAATTGTGCAGTACATCCAACTTGTACACGCATCGGTGACAAATGATTGGTGGCAAAGAATCACCATCTTTCACCTGATTAAGACATAGGTAATTACACGATTGATTTTTGCAATTAACATTCGCATAATAATTTCTATTAAATCAGTTAATGACTTAGGAGAAAGAGAAACAAATTGCACTTACTTATAGAAAAATGTAAAAACAGAAAAATTTGCAGTTTAAGTAAGTGAAATAGATTCATAATTTTTCGTGATCTCTATTAGTGTAAAATTTTACGAGAAACAAAATAAATTTTTCAATTAAATAGGTTAGACAGAAGCAAAATTTTCTTTCAGAACAACGAATCGCATCGAAAGCAAATGAAGGAATCACAGAGGGAGGAGAGAAATACAGAGCAGAGCCGAATGTGACAGCGACTCGTGGAATCCGCGTGTGAAACCTGATAACAGGCCGTCTAAATAAGGAGGTGCTCCCCTCTCCGTGAAATTTGCACGAGCGAGAAGCACAGCTTATCACTGCCATTTTAAATGCCCCCGTGAGTCGGCTTATCTCGCGGACACATCTCTTGCCAAACTTTCTCCCGTGGCACGCGCACACACACACACGCACCCTTGAGACGGTAAGAAAAACAGAGACAGAAGGCGAGGTGGATAGAGAAGAACTAAGCACGACGAAGAGAGAGAGATAGGAGTACGCGTGAAAGAGAAAGAGACGCATTCATAATGAAGAGTACCACAGATGGTCGCGTCTGATTTATCATCGTCTCGGCACGAGGAGGACCGGGTGAAAAGTTTGTAACGAGACTCACCGTAATCGAGAGGCACGTTAGTATCTTATCGGCGAAGTTCCGCTGGGCGCCCTCCTCTTCGAATATGGACAATTTGACACCATCCGACGATAAACAAAGGCGACACAGCTCGTAGAACTTGGGCGGTACATCGAACATAATTGTGAACTCCGGCTACGTTGCGCCCTGCGTAAAGCGCGAGTCATCAAGAGGTAGACTCTTTCCTTGGTCGACGTACTATCTTTCTCCACTGCCACTACGCGTTTAGCGACGAGGAAGGGTACGCGATCACTTATCACAGTCACCGCCGCGGCTCATTGTCAGCGGCACAGTACACACGGTCATACAATTACGCTTAGATACAGAGGGGACACTACCAAGTGACCAAGGCTCTTCTCATTAGGTTCTCAATCTTGGTCACTGGGAGGCGCTGACTATCGTCGCTATCGCCGAGATCACCGGCATCGATCCTGTTCGAATTCTTAAACCTCAGGGTGTCTCAGGTCTGTCAAACGTGTAAAAACATTCATTTACGTTCGTACAACATGTATGATCATTGAACAACATGTTGAATAAAATCATGTAAGGTCGAATTAAGTCATGTTGACGACTTGACTCGACGTGCAAGCGTTCTTATCGTAAATTATAAAAACATATTCTGGAGCGCATTCTCAGATTCTCGATCAACCATCGCGCCATCTTTCGTCCTTTGCCATTCTTCTGTTAAATTTCTTACGCAATTATATAATTTCTAAAGAACACGAGAAATTCAATAGTTACAAGTATGTAACCCAAACGTAGAATTTTATTATGCGTATTACATTATGAATTATCTTTAACGATTTTTCTAAAATACATTCATTTCAAGTTCGTTCTTGTTCTTCAAATTTAATTGTCGCTATTTCATTTACACACGGACACACACATGTGCACGCGCGCATACACACCTGTATATATCTTTTAAAAGACCGTAAACTATGAATTCAAAATATGGTAAATCATCTAAATTTATAGATTATTCTCGACTACTTTTACATAATAAAATGGATTGAAAATTTAATTAGCAATTCTTGACTCCGTGTCAAGTGTTGATTCGAGATCAATAAACAGATCAATGGAGGGAACAGGTTTCTTATCACGTGTTATTTTACTAGGAATTTCATTACATCGAATAAGTAGCCCAACCCATAAATAAATCAAGCAAATGGGGGGAATGACTAACACAAGATTACGCGACCCATCGTCCACCTTCGGCCCACACTATTTTATCACATGTTTGATGCGATCTTTTTACATACATGGTTATGATACAGCGATCTATAAGTTTTAAATTATATTATCGTTTATTTTTATGTATAATACTATTCAAGAATTTTCGTTCGGTATTATTTGTAACATTATTTACAGTATTTTTATACATCAACATATAACTTTTATTTTTTATCGTGTATAACAATATTTACACAAATGTACATGTAACATACATTTCAGTAACTGAATGTATGTCTAAATCACATAACGTATAAGGCAAAGGTAGAATATGAAGAAATAAAATTGTTACTTTGCTTTAGGAAGCTAACATATAATACTTGCCTTTACATCTTACGCTTCACAAATGAAATCCCGACAAAAAAAGCTTACCGCATATGTCATTTATTGTTGCTCTATGACTGCGATAGTATGAATTTCATTTCTCTATTCTAGGATTGAACATCATGAATATTAATCAGAGATGAGTAATTCTAACGTATGCACGCTCCTTGTATAGAATCATGATGTACTGAAAAAAGAATAGTCTTATCAATCAGTAACTATCTTCGATAAAATAACTATAAATATCCATTTCTTGCAAAATCCTTATAAAAATTTAAATAAAAATCTATAAATGTACACTTTTTACAAGTATATGACAAAAATTACATATAGCATGTATAATTTGGCATATACAATTTTTTCGTTATTTCGTAATTTAGATATTCCTATTCTTATTTCATATTTGTTTAAATCTATTGAAATCTATCGATTGAAATTATAATTACTTTGTAGCAATTCTTGACTCCGTGTCAAGTGTTGATTCGAGATCAATAAACAGATCAATGGAGGGAACAGGTTTCTTATCACGTGTTATTTTACTAGGAATTTCATTACATCGAATAAGTAGCCCAACCCATAAATAAATCAAGCAAATGGGGGGAATGACTAACACAAGATTACGCGACCCATCGTCCACCTTCGGCCCACACTATTTTATCACATGTTTGATGCGATCTTTTTACATACATGGTTATGATACAGCGATCTATAAGTTTTAAATTATATTATCGTTTATTTTTATGTATAATACTATTCAAGAATTTTCGTTCGGTATTATTTGTAACATTATTTACAGTATTTTTATACATCAACATATAACTTTTATTTTTTATCGTGTATAACAATATTTACACAAATGTACATGTAACATACATTTCAGTAACTGAATGTATGTCTAAATCACATAACGTATAAGGCAAAGGTAGAATATGAAGAAATAAAATTGTTACTTTGCTTTAGGAAGCTAACATATAATACTTGCCTTTACATCTTACGCTTCACAAATGAAATCCCGACAAAAAAAGCTTACCGCATATGTCATTTATTGTTGCTCTATGACTGCGATAGTATGAATTTCATTTCTCTATTCTAGGATTGAACATCATGAATATTAATCAGAGATGAGTAATTCTAACGTATGCACGCTCCTTGTATAGAATCATGATGTACTGAAAAAAGAATAGTCTTATCAATCAGTAACTATCTTCGATAAAATAACTATAAATATCCATTTCTTGCAAAATCCTTATAAAAATTTAAATAAAAATCTATAAATGTACACTTTTTACAAGTATATGACAAAAATTACATATAGCATGTATAATTTGGCATATACAATTTTTTCGTTATTTCGTAATTTAGATATTCCTATTCTTATTTCATATTTGTTTAAATCTATTGAAATCTATCGATTGAAATTATAATTACTTTGGTTTTGCAGAATCAAATATTCTTGAGCAGATCATTTTTTTTTTTTTTTATAGAATGTCGTAAACTTGTATAAACGCATTTAAATATCCAAACGTAATCAGGGAATGTTTCATACAGAGATAATAAACGTATACCTCTTTTTGCAACGTATACTTACGAAAAGGGCAACACAGAATTGTTTCTGTATATTATACTATTCATTTGTCTGCGACATGTACAACTTAGCTGAACACGTTTCATGTTTGCAAAATAAAAATCTTCATGAGGTATATGCGTTAGTACGTAGTTATAAAAGAACTTAAGTGAAATAACAATTATTATAATATATCTATTATTAAGTTTATATCACAATTCGCTTTTAATTGTTTTTTTTTCGATAACATTTTGTCGTAAAAGAGAATTTGTCGTACTCTCGGTGACACTTTGTTTACTATCTACTTCAATTGACCTAATAAGTTCATAATATTTTTTGTATTTTTCTCTAATAAATTTTACTTTATGTTGATCCTTTCTCAGGTCATCAGTAGAACCTAATATTAAATGTATATCCTTGATGTGTGCTAATTTTAATAAAATGATTTTCTTCTTATTCTTTGTATTTCTTCTTATTAAACTAATGTGCCTTATTAACTTTCTATAATCTCGAAGCAATTGTTGAATGATATCTAAACACAGCCAACGAGTTCGAGCAATGCATACATTTGGAATTTCACCAGCTCCAGATTGACAAATATTTACAAGAGCTTCAACGTGCGAATCTCCGTCCAAATTCGCTAAGACGAAATTAACAAGATTGGATATTGTAACCGGTAGAGAAAACGGATACACTGTGCTATCTTCTTTTCTGAAATAATGATGGTGAATATCTATCGTAAAACACGATAATCAGTACTCTTATTAATTACCTTTTGGCAGGGAAAAAAAGAATAGATGGGAATCGATTCATATTATATTCCCATGGTAAATCGTTGTTATCACCGTCGACTCTAACGAATAAAAGATGATCCATTCCGCGAAAATAATGAGCTACTGTTAAGTATACATAAAATATCGCGCTACAAAATGCACAATAAGGAGAGTAGTACATTACAACCACATCCTATGAAATAAAAAGTATTGAATTTGGTATAATCCTTGAGCAAAGTTTTACATTTTAACTCTATAATATCTTCATAGTTCTATTAATTTACCTTTGATGTATCTAAAACGATACTTGAAAAGCTTTCAGTTGTTAATTCTGGTATACATATACTTTGTGTATCTTTTGGTTCACAATTAATTTTGGTTTTAAACTTTTGCAAAAAACGTCTCGAATTATTGGATCGTAGCGTGCGTTGTAAAAATCCTTGAGTATAATTGTTTATAAACTGTACGAGATTATATCGATTAAAGTCATCGTGCATAACATATTGACTCTCGTGCTGAAAGAATGGTTATAAATTAATGGGTTTAATTGCATAACAACAAATTAAACTGTTTAAACTTACAGCAGCATCTACTATAATGACAGCAGTCTTATCTTTTTTTCTTAAAATATCTATTCCAAAACTTTCCGCAAAATAGAAGTAATACAAACTATCGATTGCTATTAATGCCAGTGTTTTATTAATTTTACAAACTGACTCTGTTAAATTAATATTTTGATGTTCAGAAGAATCTCGTGGAAATACTGGTTGATGATATTTGTTTCCTGCCATCCATTTTTTGCATTCTGTTTTTAAATATGATTGTTTAACATTATTTGAAGATTGTACATCGTCTTCGGTTGAAGTAGACAACATTTTGTACTTTTGGCTAAAATAGGATAATACATGTATTAATTAAGGAAATAACTTTTAAGATAAAAGCATGCATACCTTTTAGATTCAAATCCTTCTTCATCTTTTACCGTTTCATAATCCTTATTGCAACAAATTTCGTATTTCTCTGGCAAATTAGCCACAGAAGAAATTTTAAAAATATCTGTATCTTTACATACGTGATCAAGTTTGTCAGAAATAAGTTTACAAACGGACATATCCTTTTGGGCACTGTTTGATATACTCCTTTTACACAAAGTACATTTATTCATTACAATATTAGCACAGCAGCTATCATTGATCCATCGTTGCATAGAAATGCTCACTGTCTTTTTAGTTAACAGGCCTTTGCTTTCCTTCAACAGCTTCGTACATAATTTATTTTTTTCCGAATGCCTGGTAATAGCAGTACGACGTTTGAGAATGAAATTTTCAATTATACCTTTGGCCAAGATATTATTTGTGCAACTATAATATTGTAATCCGACTTCTTTCATCTAAAGAATTAATGTAACGTTTATTCTTTATGATTTAATAGCTATATTGGTATTTGCATTGCTACACACCAGATTATAATTGTAATTTTCAGAATGTAAAGGATTACGAGGTGTGAAGAGAAAAAGTACAGGTCCTTCCTTCAAATATGGCGCGAATGTTAGTGATTTTACTCCAGGAGGTTGCAGCCAAAGAGCTGGTTGATGAGTGGAGCTGATAATCCAATTTAATATGTTTTCTGAAGTCCACTCAGAGTCTTCTGGATACCTCTACACATTTGAATTCTCAAACTCATTTAACTGTGCTACATATGCAAATGTTTCTGCTTTATGTATCCCATATATGTGTACTTCTGCACGAATGTAAAAATATTATCTAATACTTACCAGAGATTCATTCCACATGAGCAAATTTGCAGATGGAAATTTATAAACGTTATAATCTGCTTCGCTAGATAATGCACTGGTGACAATAGCGAAAACTAATTCCCTATTTGGATCCCTTTCTAGAGCTCTTATAGCAGCCTTATAAAATTCTCTATAACCAGGAGTTCTATCTACTCTTGTGAAATTAAAATAACCTACTACAACAGCCTGAAACGAAAATAATAGGTAATTTATATGTTTATAAATATATTTTTCGATAATACAAATAACTTATTAACACTTACATCATAATTTACAAGCAATTCTACTAATTGTTCTTTACAAGTTATCCTAATAATTGGATTCATCACTGCATTAACAAATCTTGCCATATATGGCCATGTACGTATACCCCTGTATTGTATACCAGAATCCCTCGAAGGATAAAGCATAAATACCGGGTAACTTTGAATTTTGTCATATTGAGTTCTACATTCTGAATTCGGATGCCAGCAATTAACGGCAGCAAAAAAAATCTAAAACTCATATTTATTTCAATCTGATAATACAACATAAAAGAAATCTGATAAAACTTTTGATACCTGAGTATGATAAAATTCAGCAACTGCTTCAAATTCTTGACGTACTGTTTGACTTTCTGCATCCCATGGGGCATAAAACATAACAAAACTAAAATCTGCCTCTGTGACTTTTTCTATCATAGCTCCTAGATGCCCTTTATAAAAATCCAAGACCACTGAACTCTGATTAAAAAATGGTTTAGCTGATGGAGGTTTTGACACTTTGGGAGGTCTGCAATGAGAATAATTGATAATTTACAGTTATACACAAGAAATGAAAAAGAAATTTTACTACATTCCAAATTGATGAAACTGTTACCAAATGAAGAAACGTAAAGTTAAATTACAATACGAATTTTTAATCAAAGAATCGACATAACCTACAACTTACGAATGATGTAGAACAGCTAGAGCGGTAAAAATAATCGCGAGAAAAAAACAAATGTTTTCTCTAGCATACGAAAACATTTTGCTGGCCAATTTCTCTTCTACCGCAGACTTCTGATACGACTCCTTGGCCACGTCGTTACTTCCTGAATTCGATGCAATAGCGGGCGAGTTATCACCATTTCTCGGTGTGTTTGCTTCAAACTCTTCCTTCTCCAACATTATCCGTAACAACGAAAAGGAAACCAAGCAAAAAGGTAACGTACATTAGAACTTCATTACACACTGCTTGTTTATTCTGGTGCTGATAGTTAAAATGCTCCTTATTTAATTAAAAATAATTAGCCGGGTTTTTCGTGGATTCCTATTGAACCACCTATATTTTTATAAACCGGAAACAGCTGACCACTTGTCAACATTTCGCAAATGCACTGTGCGTAAAATTAACATTCGTTTGGTTTAGAATTGCCTGAACCGCGAATAACAGAAAACAAGAAGCGTACCATTTTGATGTGTATTTGTGTGCAATGGAATGAGCCTCCCACCGCTTGCTTTCGAGTTCAAGAAATCAAATACATATATATATGACATGTACACAGAAATTTGAAATTTTCAGATTTTTGACTTTCCAAATTTTTATATAATCGAATTTTCAAATTCTCAGATTCTCGAATTCTTGAATTCTTAAATTCTCAAATTTCAGCCACTTTCTAAACTTCTGTATTTGAAATTTGATGATTTACCGGCCAAAAATTAACGAACAGTGGAGCTTACCTCTACATCAACATTCTTTTTAAAAATGACTACCATTCTATCTAAATACCTGAGTATGATAAAATTCAGCAACTGCTTCAAATTCTTGACGTACTGTTTGACTTTCTGCATCCCATGGGGCATAAAACATAACAAAACTAAAATCTGCCTCTGTGACTTTTTCTATCATAGCTCCTAGATGCCCTTTATAAAAATCCAAGACCACTGAACTCTGATTAAAAAATGGTTTAGCTGATGGAGGTTTTGACACTTTGGGAGGTCTGCAATGAGAATAATTGATAATTTACAGTTATACACAAGAAATGAAAAAGAAATTTTACTACATTCCAAATTGATGAAACTGTTACCAAATGAAGAAACGTAAAGTTAAATTACAATACGAATTTTTAATCAAAGAATCGACATAACCTACAACTTACGAATGATGTAGAACAGCTAGAGCGGTAAAAATAATCGCGAGAAAAAAACAAATGTTTTCTCTAGCATACGAAAACATTTTGCTGGCCAATTTCTCTTCTACCGCAGACTTCTGATACGACTCCTTGGCCACGTCGTTACTTCCTGAATTCGATGCAATAGCGGGCGAGTTATCACCATTTCTCGGTGTGTTTGCTTCAAACTCTTCCTTCTCCAACATTATCCGTAACAACGAAAAGGAAACCAAGCAAAAAGGTAACGTACATTAGAACTTCATTACACACTGCTTGTTTATTCTGGTGCTGATAGTTAAAATGCTCCTTATTTAATTAAAAATAATTAGCCGGGTTTTTCGTGGATTCCTATTGAACCACCTATATTTTTATAAACCGGAAACAGCTGACCACTTGTCAACATTTCGCAAATGCACTGTGCGTAAAATTAACATTCGTTTGGTTTAGAATTGCCTGAACCGCGAATAACAGAAAACAAGAAGCGTACCATTTTGATGTGTATTTGTGTGCAATGGAATGAGCCTCCCACCGCTTGCTTTCGAGTTCAAGAAATCAAATACATATATATATGACATGTACACAGAAATTTGAAATTTTCAGATTTTTGACTTTCCAAATTTTTATATAATCGAATTTTCAAATTCTCAGATTCTCGAATTCTTGAATTCTTAAATTCTCAAATTTCAGCCACTTTCTAAACTTCTGTATTTGAAATTTGATGATTTACCGGCCAAAAATTAACGAACAGTGGAGCTTACCTCTACATCAACATTCTTTTTAAAAATGACTACCATTCTATCTAATGTAAATATCAATGTGTTTATATTTATATATATATATATATATATATATTTACATTCAAAAAACTAACCTATAGAAATCAATTAATAATTATACATATAAATATAATATTTGTGTTCCAGATTTTTTGTCGTAATATTGAGCACCACTAAACACAGCAGTATTCAAGGTAGCAGTGTGCACATGCATCTGATAATATCAAAACAATGACTTTAATTTTTCAATGAAACAGATTCAAACAGATAATATAATTTGGTTTATAAAGGCATAATGAAAACTATCTTAATTTTTTTACCAAACAGACTTTATCAAGAAAAGTCTGGATACATGTTTGGTAAAATTGTGTATGATGAAAATAGGGGAATTAAAAAATTTTATGTTATCGGCACATATAATTTGGATCATTTGGAAACACTGAAATGTGCTAATATAATTGGATATTATTCTGGTACAGAAAATAAACGTGGATACATAGATAAAAAATATTTAGATTGGATTACTATATATTTACACACCACTGCTTCTTGTCAAGGAAATATTTACAATTATGGTTTGAAAGGTATCATTGTAAATAATAAAAAAATCTCAACTGTACACTATCATATAGTTATCACGATTTATGATCAACTAGCTTTACAAAAAACAGAATTATTTGCTTATAAAACAGCATCTGGGGATCACTTTTATGAATTAATGAATATTGTACAGAACAAACAAGTGGAAAGAGAAATACAAAAGAAAGGAAAGTTCACATATATGAAAGAAACTCTGTTAGTTTATCATATGCTTTTATACTTTTATCCAGTACTTTTCCTCAGCAAAATAATGAACAAATTATCATTGGTATTAAAATATTCATTCCTTGGTTTACATGTTAATGAATGGCTGGAAAATCTTAAGTGGATGTTGATCACTGTGATAAAGAACAAAAAATTCACACTAAAAACTGGTAATTATGTATTCGCAGTGGTGATAGATATGTTATTAGGAATATTTCTATTACAATTATTATTACATTACCTTGAATATATGTCTCCCTCTCAAATACTTTTAAGTAATGCAGAGGCAAGTTGAACAGCACTTTTCTATGATGAGTAATTTTGTACTTAACTGATATTTGTAAATATTTTTCAGAAAGTAGTAACATTTTTAAAAGATTTAATTCATTGGCTAATGGGTGTACCAGCTGGTTTAAAATTAAATCATGCTTTAAACAATATGCTGGGAAAATTTTTTTTATACCACATACATTTGTGGTGGACATTCTTAATATTTATGAAACCTGTAATGGATTTTGCTTTTGAAGTGCTGATGTTATTTGGCAAGCTTGGCATCACGTTTCAAATAGCAATAGCAGCTGATCTTTTGGCTCTTGTCAGTTTTCATGCTTATTGCATTTATGTATATGCTGCAAGGTAGTAAAAAATTAAATAAACACAAAAGATTCAAAAACATAATTAAAACATTAATTTGGTCTTTTTCTAGGCTATTTAACATTCAATTAAAAGGTATTACCGCCTTATTTCGACTATTTTTGGGTAAGAAAAAAAATCCATTAAGAGAAAGAGTAGATTCTTGTCAGTATCAGTCTGATCAATTGTTTGTGGGAACTTTACTATTTACAATTTTATTGTTTCTTATGCCAACAACATGGGTTTACTATGCAGTATTTACTATGGTATATTTTATTTTTGTCATTAGATTTTGATTATGATTCAGAAGCTAATGACTACTTATTGCAGCTTAGATTGATGTTAATTGGTTTTGGAGGTTTCTTGACAAGAATGAAATTTTATCTTCAAGTCATGCCTGTATATACATTCTTCAAGTGGTTATTCCACTCTTACAATATGTGCAGTAAGTGAAATATTATATGGTTTGTTTATTAGTGCATCGATTGTGTAAATTTTTTATGCGTTAATTTTTTTACAAACTTTAGGTGTTGTAAATATTAAAGTGCACTCGCATGGTACAGAAGGACCAATTATATTAATAATGACAATGGTTGTAGCACCATGGTGTGACACATGGAATAAATGTATACCAGATACAATTACGCGTCATCCTCCTATTGAATGGAAAAAAATAGTAAATAACATAATACGTGGTGAATTATTATATCCGCTATAATTAATTTATTTAGTACCTGTTACAATCATAGAAATACTTTTGTGTAATATTTTGGTAACAACATTAAACTACATTAATTTACAACTATGTTTATTTGGCTTTTGTGGCATTTTTTCCATATACTTGTTCCAGAATTTCTACAGGTATATTTTCTACCATTTTCTCATCGATATCGTTTTCTTCTCTAAGCATAGTAAAATATACATAAAAAACAATTAGACTTAATGCTATGATTTCTGACTGGTACGTTGGTCTATCCAGATGCTTATCACTCGAAAATCCAGCAGGCCATGTTGCTGCTTTAGATGTTGAAAACTTAATGGGCTTGTCAAGCTCATCGTCATAATCACTTTTGTTTTTTTTATCAGTATTATACTTTGAAATACAAAATATTTGAGGCAAAGCGTATCTAAAACAATGTTATCATACCTTAAGCTATTAAAAACGAAGGTATTTGTAAAAACATTATAACTATACGGCATTTAACCTATACTGTGTAATATATTTCAAAATTTTACACGAATAAATCATTGCATACTTAAATATACCTTCTTTCTAGTAATGCTTTTGCATGTTCACTCCGTAATAAAGCACCAAAAATTTTTTTGTTCATTGTTATTTACTAATAACAGACACTATTTTCTACCTTGAGAAAAAATACGCAATATAAATATTGCGTCGCTGAGAGCGTTGAAATTTCACAATATATATGTTTAATCTATAAAAGTTGGCTCGAAAATGTAATTGTTATTTTATAATTCAAATTTATTTTTAATCGTTACAATTCATAAACGTGTTTTCGATATTCTATTATTACCTTATTTAAACATCATTAAATTCGTTTTCGCGGATAATCGTGATTCTATATATTACAATAACGTACACATATGACAACTATGTTTTAATTTTATTTTTTATATATCAATTAATATTTACTTTTAATGACAAGAATATTATTTTAAAGGCATAAATGTGACATTGTATTTACATATAAGTATATATAAAATCGATCGATTAATTTAGATGTTACGATGGGTAGTGAAGACACGTTAAAATGTAAGGTTAAAAATTCAAAGAAACAGAATCAATTAAAAAGCAAATATAAATCAAAAGGTAAATATTTCGTAATTTTTATTTATACGTGGTAACATGTTTAATTAGACCGAAGTTAAAATAAGAGAAAGGAAAGCAAAATAGAAAGTAAAGTTCTACATTATTATGCTTTCAGATTTTGCTGCAGAAACGAATGATGACATTAATACATCCGAAAATTTTTCTAGTATAGTTGAAGTTAATGAACAACGCATAAAGCATAAAAAACTGAAAAAAACAAAACGGAAATTAAATAACAGTGATTGCAATGATAATTCTGAAGAAGTTACTAATTGCAAAGAAGAAAAAAATATTAATAATAAAAAGACCAAAAAGATAGACAACGAAGAGGAATTGGATAATCAAACTATGTCATCAAGAAAAAAGCTAAAGTAAGTTATTAATCATTAGATAACAACTTATTAATTAGATTATTAATTTTGTGAAATAAGAAAAAATTATTTTGTTTACCGTTTATATACAATAATACCACATATTTGTCCCACAGTTCAAACGAAACAGAAGATTTAGGAGAAATAAATGAAACCGATTCGAAAACTTCGAAGGAACCTTCTAAAAGGCAACTAAAGAAAGAAAAAGCTCAAATAAAAGAGAATGAAAAAAAAATGGCTATTAAGAAAAAGGCAATGAAAAAGGGACTTAATTATGTTTCAAAGGTACAATATCTGGATTAATTTGTCATTTTCTTCGCGATACAAACATATTTTTTATTATAGTGGAAACATGCACGAAACGAATGGAAATTTGAGAAATTGCGACAGATTTGGCTTATGGATAATCTGTTGGATCAGACTTCTATTCCAGATGACATTTTCCCCACAGTTTTAGAATATTTTGAAGGATGTAAAGGAATGGCAAGAGAGCAGCTTCTAAAAAAAGGTATGGATGTTATAAGAACAATAGAAGAAAACGAAGAAAACAAAGACAAAGTTGAGTCTGTGGCTTATCAAAGAGCAAGAAAGCTTTTACAAGCTTTACCTACCGAATCATAATTTCTTTAAAAGCGTAACAAAGGAGTAACAAGTTGCTTCATTTTAGTCACTTCTGTAATATATTGTTTACACGTTTTTTATCTTTCGTATACACCCTAGAAGCAAATTTTATAATATGCCAAATGTACATTTAAATACTTGTAATACTTAAATATATTAAATATTTATATGACAATCATTTATTCAACAATTCTTTATATATAGATAAATTATAAAGTTTAAGATTCATTTTACAAAAGAATGACATTTTTTAATATACAATTATTGCCTGATAAGATATTATAAAACAATATCTTATTGACTACATAACAAAGTTACGGTCAAAACAAACTACATTATTCTGTATATTTATCTACGAATTGTTTAAGTTTATCTACATCTTGAAGGCCAACAATTCTATCTAAAACCTTCCCGTCTTTCATCGCGATTAATACAGGAACAGACCCTACCTACACATAAAATTTTATATTATTTCAGTTATTTTAATTACAAGTTATGGAAAAATAGATATGTCAAAACTTAACCTCATAATCCAACGCAAGATCACTGTTCTCATCAATATCCACTTTCGCCAATAAAACTTTTCCTTGTTTTTCAGCAACTACTGATTCTATGCGTGGTGTAAGCATGCGACAGGGGTTGCACCATCTGCAGCATGAATTACATACAATATCATTTTCTTTCTTGTTTTCAATAAATCATTGCGCAGCTTAAATATTTACATACGTTGCAAAAAAGTCAACGATCACGGGTACTTTAGAATTTTTTACACGATCATTAAAATCTTTTGGATCTTGAATTTTAAAGGCTGTCGAGAGTGCTTGTTCCTGAGCCGGTGCGTTTGCAAAAGTTTTACTTCCTAAAGCATTACGAACAGCTCTTACGCTGACTCGAAACATTTTAACCTCTTATAAATATGTGATATTTGATATAATATCGTAATAATCACAGATGGATTTTAAAACGAAATACGCAGTGAATTCGGATCTAACCTAATTCCTTACTTTAAAGTTTAGATACTGACTATAGGCATAACTCAGTCAATGATTTAGACTTGCTGTACTATACATACATATATAAGTGCGCATAGTTTATTGCGCAGTTACGAACACGCTACCAACGTAGTAAAAATAACACTCGCATTTCTGTATCATAGAAGAAAATAAAAAAAAATATCGTATTAATAATATTTAGTATTCTGTCGTACAAGCAAAGGAATAGTAAAATTTTTCTTTCAACATTGTTGAATTGTTTCCATTGTATCTTGCAATTTACAATTCATCATATATCATTATAATCAAATCACCCAATTGAATACACAATATTTTTAAACAAAGTTTGTTTAAGCATTGTTTTATGATCAAGAGAAATTCGAATCATTTACTTAGAAGCCATAACTTGGATCGGGAATAAAGCTGCGGAAACCTTTCGTGTCTCTGCAATTGTTACGACGCTTCTTTTAGCGAATGTATAAAAGATTAGTTTATTTCATTCTATTTTATTGAAAATTATCGATCAGATTGATCATTTTATCGGTAATTTATTTTACTGATCTTGACAATTTAAACCGTCGAGTTGTTTCGTTAATGACCCACTCTAGTTTTCGAGGTCTTACACTTATACGTTCGGTCCCCGATCGTATCGAAATCCTTCGACAATGTGTCACGTATCAAAACGCCTAAGGGCAAAATATTGTATACGATAAGAGGAGTGTTCGACGATTCAGTCACTGCCTCTTGGGAATATCCTCAGTCAGGTTTCTTAAAGGGCTAAGACAATAATGCTTTTATCGTACATTTAATTAAGTTGTTAAAGCAATCGTAAGCCGACTGTTAGCGCGATTATCATGGCACCCATTCTTATAGTTCTCAGTTGAATTTTACGATCTGAAGTTTAAAATTGCATATTTCAGAATTTCCAGAATTCAGTACATAAATACTATGCGTCATGTAAATACAATAATACTTAATTCTTCTCTACGCAAAATATACAATTTACTTATAAAACGAAATACAGACAACTTTATGCTCTATTTGGGCATTTATAACGAATAAACTTTAAAGGATGTCGGAAGAAATTCAACGAATAATAAAAATCAATGCTTTCGACGTATCCTTTCGCGCCTTCGAATAAATATGCAATAAGTCTATCACATGGTGATTGTTTGACGAGTTAGTTTGTGATATCGATTTCATTCCTACCATACTTACCAACAATATTAAACGTTTTCTATTCATCGTCGTCTATTATTGGATCCATGACCAATGATGTAACACGATGACGAGTAATTCGTAGGATGTCCTGCGTCCCTCCCCCCTGGCAAACTGCATGGCTGTTTAATTACTGAACTTTATGCCTGTATAAATGTAACGAACATAGAGCGCGTTATTGTCTCAAAACTAAACTATTTGAGGGTTAGACAAATAAATAGAGTAATTAAAATGAATGGAATACTGTTTTTTCTGATTCCGTTGCAAATAAATGATGCTTTCCAAGTTCGCCGACGTTCTACCAATTGTTATATAAAAAGAGAACGGACTGCGTAACGCTTTCTTCTGTTCTGAAGCGAATGGATACCTACAAATTATAAGTTGAATCATTAGAAATTTGTACTTCGTTGCCGACGAAAATTATTTTTAACGATCAGATTGGTGTACAGATTACGAATAATTCGCATTTATTAAAAATATATGGATCTCATATATGGATCAAAGCTTACCTCTTCGTCGTTTTAATTGTCCATAATTATTTTTTTTCGCGATGTTTACGCCTATTAAAATAAGAAAAGCAGATAGATCGGCGAATACGAAACATCAGGCTTGAATCGAATGCAATGAAACGAAGGATGTTGCACAAGAAACGATGATGCATCGTCCAGGTATGACGCGAAACATTACGTTTAAAGACAGATAGCTTCTTTTCATTCTGCGTTTCGTTTTCAAGGTCTTGGTTACCTTGGTCTTCGGACTTTTTCCTCGTTACACGGCGATCCTGCTAATCCTAGAAAAATGTTTTTGCAAACAGGCATACAAGGTTTATGTATTATCTCGCTAAGGAACGGTCACGTTCGCGTGTTTGCGTGTTGCGTAAAACTCGACATTGTTTCCTTATGTGTATATACAAGTTGGCCTAGCAAATATATATTGTATATATATATACATATATATGAATCGACCTCGTTCGATGTAGTATCAGGACCTAGATTCAGCATTTTCCTAAAGCAGAAAAAAGTTTGATAAGTTCATTTATATCTTACGCATAGAGGGAGAAGGATTAATAGCTAACAATACGAGACTTTAGCGTTTCATTATTCTCCTTGACGATTGTCAAAAGTTCAATCGAAAGCCCATTGTCGTTTTCATTCGGTCGTGAATTTAGAAGGATGGGTGGAGGGATTGACAGACAGTGTTGGACGATCGAATCAGTCGCAAGCGTGGATTGAAATATTATTACCGGTCAAAAACGAATCGACGTTTCTTCATTGAATTTACCGAAACGTACTATGCAATCTGTCGAGTATAGGCGGCGCGATAGAAAAGCTACGATGAAAAAAGAAAGAAAATAGAACGCTAGGGGGTTGTGAATGAAAGCATCTCGTCCTGTAATCACATGGGACGGTGGGACAGGGGATGCGGAAGATCTGGTAGTGTACTGCAGTGTACACGAGCGTGATGTAGGGAAATAATAAAGGGAGAGCCGTTGGTCGTTATGGTAACCGTCGATCTAGGATTTCATCTGGCCGGTATCATGCTGACTAGAATAGGTGACCCACTGCTCTCGAGGAAATACGTTCTAGGTTCTATGCAAAATCGAACAAACACACGATCTTTTTTACTCTTCGATCAAGTTAGATTTATAATTTGCTCATAGGATTTCTGTCCTTCTTTATCTCGTGGTCATAGACATTTGCATATTTCACCATGATTCGCAAATATTCTTAAAGGTTCTTAGATATTTCTTTGAAGCAACCTGAAATCGTTAAAACAAAATTAGTTTGATACGAACAAATAATAATTGCTAGTTAATATGTTCAGCGATTAAGTTTTTTACATCATTCGAGTTATTAAATATTGAACGTCGATCAAAATTCGATGTCGTTGAAAAGCGAGAATTAAAAATCAATGAAAAATTCTTAACTTACTGACTGATAGTGAAAAAGGATCCGATTTGTCAGTCTAAACCTAGGGTTCACTGAATATTCGTCGCGCGTTACGCGTTCTCCCGCGAAATATCGTTCAATTTGATTAAGCGACCTGCGTTCCTCGGCGAACCGTGAAAATCTCTGCAAGCCTCGAATCCTCTCTCGCTTTGCGCTTTGAAGCGGTAACGATCCAATCGGACATTTAACACTTTGCTCATTTGGCGCATTATCGTCAGTTTGTTTGTCAAAAACAAACGTTCGTCACTTTGTTACTCGTCACAGGAGAAAATAGTCAGCGTCAATACAATAAAGTATTCGGAATACTTTCTTATCTAGCAGTTTCATTTAGTCAATCGCTATTTATCTATATAATTTTCCTTTTCAATCTAAATAGCGCGAAATAACGATGTAATCCGATTATACTTGAATCGTTAATTTGATGTGACGCGCAGTCTAATTATTTCAGTTAGACGAATCAGCTTGACAAAGTTCGTTTTCCTTGTGATTCTGGTATAGCACAGATTTTGACGGTTCATGAAAACACCGATCAGAAGACGCGATGTATCGCCCATCGTTTTTCTCGTACAAACTCTTCAACAACGCGTTGCGGTTGCTCTAACCTATCGCTAAAACAGTGTAACGGTAGAGGCAATCGTTTCTGTTTCTATGACGCGTGACACCACGACCCAAATTAGCGTGGAACGTTCATGAAAATGTTTCGAGCCTAAAATTGCAACTAACATAATTTACGATACACGAGTTTTATCGTATCAGTCAGTAGGTCTGGAATTAATTAAAGGAATGTTCTGCAAACAGATCGTATAGAAATCTGTTTATTTCAATTTCGATAGAATGAAATTTCCTCTGGAGATGATCCCGACTGGACAGATAGTTAATGATTTTACTCGCAAGTAGCTTTCGCTGATCGCGTGTCTCGAATAATTCATGAATTCTTCGTTGTTACGTAGTCGGATACGCACCATGAGGAAATACACAAAATTCTTATTTATTTCTATGAAATGTATGTCCAGGTGTAACTCAAGTTTCCTCTGGATAAGAACCAGTAAGAAAACTATAGCAAACAAGTGATCTACCGCTCTTATAGCTTAAAAGTATTATAGTATTATAGTTTTCCTTGTCCTTTGTTATTAATCTTCGAGTTAATTTATCGTAAGATACAACCTTTGACATAGAGATTCTAAAGATCGGTGTTACTGCTACGTAACGAGATCATTATGCGTTTATTACTTCTAAATCGTACCAAGTTTGTCCTTCGCTATGGAATTCATCCCTCTTGGGATAATGAAATTACGCAGCCGCCTTAAAGAGTAAAGTTGGCACGAGTTGGTCCGTGTCCTCTTTACACCTTGACTACACTTTTGTTAGAGAAGTTCAGCGGTTCGAAAACACCGGAAGCTGGCCTATTCAAGCTGGTAAAAATCGGTGCTACAGCGAAATTCACTGGTCGACCATTACACACCATTGGGTTGCTTAAAATCGAAGGTGATCCGATGTATCTAGAAACAGGAAGCATTAAATTTGTTTCATTCGATTAGTTAATGGACAATATACAACAGTTTAATATATTAAAGATTAATGTATTAAAATTGACTTTAAATTAATTGTAGTCGTATAATTGGTTACTATAGGATATTCTAATCGACAATTTGAAAGAAGAATTTCACTTTTCAAACGAACCTTCCGTGTCACGCCTTCGATCTGCGAATTAGAAGCTATCGTAACGAGCATATTCTTCGATACCAGCAGTTCCATTGAAAGAGAGGATCACGCGATGATCAATCGCACGATATCCATTAGGCTAAAGGTTGGAACGATAAGAAGAACGTTCGTCCTTCCCGTTCATCCAATTTCCATCATACATCATCGTTTTAGTTCCTTCCTTCGATTCGATCCACCGATTGCAACGTTTTATCGTTCTTTCTGTTCGGACTCCTCCTTTCGTTTCTAATCTACGAATCGACTAGCTCTTCTCTTGCCACTATGACAGTTCTATTTTCATACACGACGTGGATTTTAGTAGGCCAGTGGAAAACGGATGCTCAGGGCGAGGCCTCTGCCCAATGTTATATACCGGATCGCACGTTTATGTACGTTTAGTCAGACTCGTTATTTCCCCATACTATATTCCATTTTTCTCGTTTACTATAATACTTTCACGCGATCTATAGAGAAATGTGTATTCGTCGCCTGGATAGTTCATACAGCATTATCGTTCATATTTCCACTTGATTTTCTTTGCCTAAAACAAAAAATTAGTACTATATTACTTAGCTCGAATTCTCGGAAACAATTTAAAAATAAATTATCTTGTTAACTTATTAATGCATTCCACGTATCGCGTGAAATTCAAGGTTCGTGAACGAAGCTTGAAAATAGGTCAAAGAATTATTCGTTTAATTATCGACAGAGATGCTAAGCTGTGTTAAAACTTTAACGTGCTAAATAAATATAATTTACTCGCGCATAATGGGGATTTGATCGAAGGGATAGAAAGAGTGAAAACTCTTGTCAACGAAGGTTTCAGTTGATCGTGACCGTGAATGTTTCGTGTGGTGAATATCGAAAAGGAAACGCGTAAGGTGAAGAATACGAGAAATTGACGAATTATTACGCATTGTTCAATACGGCCGAATGGGAAAACAAAGCTGGTCCGTCAATGGAAACAGAAAAGAAAAAGGAAAAGTGTGCCACGACACGGAATATTCAGTCGTACGAATGCAAACAGTGTTTCACAGAGGATGTGAAACTGCATCGACGTAAAAGCACGACAAGGACATAGATTATTTTCAAGCCTACTCACACCAGGATATATTTATTCATGACTCTGAGATACGTGGTTAATTAGTCAGGTCGATTCGCGGTATTACGTAACCATCGACTGCATTATCGTCGTGCACTAGTCACAGCGAAAATTGATTATGTGTACATGTATATATATAGAAATTTCCATTTGTTAAAGTACAAATTTCCAAATTACGATACATATTTTCAGAAGTCACACGGTTAACCTTCGCTCATAGTGTCAATTCGTTTGCGAACAGGATATAATTTAGCAACGATGGAATATTCAAATCATTTGCATCTACTTAATATACATAGTATATGAGACGGAGAATACTTGAACAATCATTCACGCGACACATCTTTATTCTTATCATTAGCAGAATCACTACTCGAATGTCAGTCAGCCGAACGGTAGGAACAATACTATGATCGTTTGTATTATTTGCACGTATCAATTCGAAAGAAGAACCCATCGATAAACTTTTAAGAATCAGATGCGGCGACAAGATTTAAAAGAAACTTACGTTAAAATTTGTGCTTTTCGTATTTCGAAGGTTACAGTCATGCAACGTTTGGGACGCGAAACGATAAGTAACAGATGTAACGCGACGCGACGGAAGGAAAATAACGATGATGTTTTGCGTTTACATTCTTCTTTACGATTTGCGAACGTCTGAGAAAACGATTATATATAGTTGTGCAAATAGTTAATCGTTGATTTTATGCAGGAGCGGGCAAATCGAGTGGTTGTTCAAGAACTCGGTACAACTGTGTACGCGATGCGTGCAGTTAAAAAACGACAGAGATTCTTGGAGATTCGAAATTTTAACGTTTGGAAATATAGGAATTTGGAAATTTATTGATTTCGAAGTAAATCGAAGAATTTTCAATGTTTGCAAGTGCACGCTCGTCTTTGCGAATGTTAGGTAAAATTGTTTGTCACTAATTTGATCGATGGAATAGGAAAATTTTTGTCCTCTGTTATATCGATGCCAATAATGTTTCGTTACGTATTTCAAAGAAACCGTTAGATATGTACTGATGCGTTGCCTAATTAAATAAAACGAGAACTCGATTGTGTAGGGTGTCAGTTATGAGCCGACATTCCTGCACGTCTATCGAGTGCTTCTGAGCATTGAAAATGGCGCAACGTCTACGGGATAGCAGCGATCCAATTCCCCGTAACAATATTAATAAGTATCCGATTAGCATAAATCTGTAATTCCGGTACTTCTCATCTCAGTTTAGTTCTAATTCCTTTTATGGCAGTCTTGTACATCATCGTCATGAACGGTTTACTATTGTTTACCCTGTGGGCACAGAACGGAGGTACAGAAGGGCTAAGGGCTGGAAATATTGTAACTAGTCTGAAACATAATATTCGATAATAATAAACGCGTTGTTAAAACGTTAATCATTTTAGCTACTAGCTGTCAAATATGTATTTCAGACTTTGCTTTCACGTTTATGCGTTGAAATAAAAAAAAAAAAACTAAAAATATCTTTGAAATAATAAAAGCTAAAAAAGAACGTTCAATCAGCAGCATCGAAGTTCTATCCTGAATAGTTGTTTTCAAATTTCAAGAATTATATACCTATAAAACAATAATCTAACAATAGAAGGGTTTCAATGGCTCGAGCGAACGATGACAAGCATGGTATAACTGTTGACTCACCATGATGTGACGTATAATGTAATGTTATAACAGTAATAAAGAACGTGTGCACTGACAGTATATCTGTAATAGGTGTCGGTTATTTCGACATCACGGTCATCCAGATGCTTTCAGACACGTCTATACGTGATCATTCGTATTCATTGTTTTGATCCATTATCACTGATGATCCACTCGGTGGACGTTGCTACGGGCGATCAAGACTCTATTCGCGTTTCTGCAATTATACATATAATAGGAACGTATTATTCAGTGTGGAATTTATTAAAAAACCATCGTCACAATAATGCTATCGATCAGCTATTGCGAACTCGTCAAGGACAATTTCACAATCGTACACTCGAATTACACCCACCGTCGTTTCTTTTTTTATTTTATAGACGTTCAGCGGATGTTTCACGTTTTAGAACAGAGATTCCCAAAGTGCGAAACTCGAGATTCGAATTACTGGCTAATTACTGGTAAAAAGTATATCTAAAGTATATATCAAGAATTTTGGAAAATAACGAATACAAACGAGCTGGCCGGTTCGCAAAAGATTATTTCGAAAACGAATCTCGATACATAAAAATTTAGCGAGCTCTGCTTTAGAATCCAGAAAATATTTTTCATATCCGCCTCGTTATTTTCAGTAGTTTGTCCGTTACGAATAAACGTTGCTACAAATTATATGCGAACTTTTTCGGTGAAAAATATTTCCTAACCGTATTTGCTCAGCGATTTTGGGTTACGTATACCGAGGTTTATTTATGGGACGACTGTCTATATGGGACGTCGATATTATTGACTTGTCCGTAATTTCAGCGACTTCGTCATGGCCAGTGATCAGCGGTTACTTTGGTTTCGTCGTTCATTGATCTTCGCTTTCGGTCAAACTAATTTTATCTGCTTTAATAAGTATTATCTGTGTCTAGTTTCTGATTCGATTTTTATTCAAATACCGAAATTAATCCCGTTCTAATTTATCGAAAACGCGAAGCTTTTAAGCCTGGTCACGGTCGAAAACGGAATGCGAATAAAAGTATAGTAATATCGATTAGAGGCTTATACACGTTACACCTTAGGAAAAAAATATTAATGTGAATTTGTATACATATTTGAACAACCGTCAAAAGATTATTACTCCAAAGGGTACTTTTTTTACGAGAGATCGTCGTTTCGTATTCGAAAATACGATTCTCCAAATCGATACATCTGTTCTAGAACTCGTCAGTCAAATATAACGACCATGGATGGGACTATTTTTGAATATTGCATCAACCACGGACATGTTCATAAGAATGAGAGAGACGCGTGAGCTTCACGAAAAAAGAGGGGAATAGATCCTTGGTATTTGCTGGTCGCTTAAAAGACGAAATCAGTTTGCTTAATTAACATTTTCAGTGGCATTTCATCCGTACCCCACATCTCATTCGCCCCCGTCTTCAAGCTGGTTGAAGACAATTTTCTTCTTTAAAGCCTGGTTATTTGATCAAACGTATATTTGCGTGTTTCAATCTTATGTTTTCTATCTAATTGAAAGTTTCCATCGTGAATCATTTCAATAATTGTCCTCGTAGCACGGTAATGATCGCAGAACCTGCAATTAAAACTACCATTAGATGCTGCTTCAAAGAAACTGATATATTTATATAAAATACAAGGATATAATCTGCAGATACAAAATGTTCTATCTACAAAATATGAAGATCGCGTATAAATATTGTTATTCAGAATTTTGAATTACCGTCAATCGCCAAGATAAGTGGATAAAAGTTTCGCGACAAAAGGTATACTTATATGTTTGTTAGATTTATAGTTACAGGATATCTTTTCGAGGAAAGCTCGTGACATTCTGTATGCATCTCAGAAACGATACTGTTGAGTCAAACGATTAATCATAGTCTGAATAATGCGCTAGTCCATGATAATGTTACGAATTCCAGAAAATATAATAGTAACCAAACCTCAGACCACACGATGAATGTCGGTTACAACTGTTACCCCGTGCATTCATTGATCCATTTCACTCGGTGGGGATCAACGGACCATGAGAGAAGAAAACCGATCGGCATACACACGGTTTTTCGAAACAGCACCCTCGACGAAATATTCCTATCCGTGACGAGTATCGCTGCCTGAAATACAAATATAAATAAATTAGTACCGAAGTATGTATCAAATCATTAGCTCGCCTACGGGTGCGATAGGAGCCGCTATCCTTGCGCCGACATCCTTCTTGAAATTTGATCGTAGACCTTTTTCCCTGCTAAACAATTGTTCGTAGTTAAATATCATTCTTGCCTATTTAAACTAATTCGCTATGCTATTCTGATGTTTGAAACATCATCGAGTTATCGTTATCCAAACTCTTACGTTCATATAAATAAACTTTCATCGTAGACTAGAGCGTTTTAAAGTAAGGCAGAGTGGAGCACGACCTCGTTTCGCTCGTAAACAATTGTAAGTTTCATTAAACGCGTTCTTTGACACGACGTGTCACCCTATGATACAACGTTCTTTATTCAACTAACAGAAGAACAGGTCTAACGGAATTCTGAGCAGCGTAGTTTCACGCCGAGCGATGCGAAGAAGAGACACGACGCGACGCGACGCGACGCGACGGGACGGTTGAATCGATCATTCGGGATCATTTCTAGCAAAGGGGAGAGATAAAGCAAGGCATAACAGCCTTTTCTAAGCTTACCCCCTTTTAATCGTTTCCTTTTCAAACGGACCGGCCTCGCCTAATACGTATACGCCTTTTATCCGATTCAAACACAACGTCTTTCGTTTAGGCTAACAATGTACGTACAGAGAAAAACCATAGGATTCTGCGAACAGCGTTAACTTAATCGCCGATTATAAACTACTCGAGAATCACGGAACAATTCTGTGGCTATTTTAGGACGATATTCTGCGATACGATGAAATTTTCAGTAACTTCGACGTACCGGTTAACGCGATAAGTCGAACGCTATAAATTTCAATTAATAGCGCGATATCACGTTCCCGAAGCTCGAATAAAATCGTGAAAAATCTCGGTCGCGTCGATAAGAAAGTTAACACGGGGTTCATTTACATCGAGAAACAGTGATTCGAGTAAGAACGTTAATTTGCATGTTCGCGACGCATCATCGTCACGTCACATGGCCAGCTAAGTTACGTTTGGCGTGTAAATCAGTGGTGGGGATACACTTGGGTGTTCCTATTGCACGTATGTACACGCTCGCTTGCAACCCCGCACATAAGTACGTGTATATGTATGTACGCGCGATCGCCGGTACACACGCGTGCGAATCGTTTGCACGTGCACAGAGGAACGTAGCGTGTAAATAGAGGTGGCGTACGGTGGGGATAGGACGCCTCTCTAAGCGACGCTTCGCGTCTTCGTCAGTCAAATCGCGATCGTCTCCGCGCGATGGGCCGCTGAGATCGCTAGTAAGACGCCGCAGCAACACAGCTATCATTGATGACAATTTGGAAAAACGGCTGATCGTTTACGAAAGCAGGCCAAGTAACAAACACCCAACAGTTGGCACGCGCGGATATTCCAATTGTTCGTAGTTAAATATCATTCTTGCCTATTTAAACTAATTCGCTATGCTATTCTGATGTTTGAAACATCATCGAGTTATCGTTATCCAAACTCTTACGTTCATATAAATAAACTTTCATCGTAGACTAGAGCGTTTTAAAGTAAGGCAGAGTGGAGCACGACCTCGTTTCGCTCGTAAACAATTGTAAGTTTCATTAAACGCGTTCTTTGACACGACGTGTCACCCTATGATACAACGTTCTTTATTCAACTAACAGAAGAACAGGTCTAACGGAATTCTGAGCAGCGTAGTTTCACGCCGAGCGATGCGAAGAAGAGACACGACGCGACGCGACGCGACGCGACGGGACGGTTGAATCGATCATTCGGGATCATTTCTAGCAAAGGGGAGAGATAAAGCAAGGCATAACAGCCTTTTCTAAGCTTACCCCCTTTTAATCGTTTCCTTTTCAAACGGACCGGCCTCGCCTAATACGTATACGCCTTTTATCCGATTCAAACACAACGTCTTTCGTTTAGGCTAACAATGTACGTACAGAGAAAAACCATAGGATTCTGCGAACAGCGTTAACTTAATCGCCGATTATAAACTACTCGAGAATCACGGAACAATTCTGTGGCTATTTTAGGACGATATTCTGCGATACGATGAAATTTTCAGTAACTTCGACGTACCGGTTAACGCGATAAGTCGAACGCTATAAATTTCAATTAATAGCGCGATATCACGTTCCCGAAGCTCGAATAAAATCGTGAAAAATCTCGGTCGCGTCGATAAGAAAGTTAACACGGGGTTCATTTACATCGAGAAACAGTGATTCGAGTAAGAACGTTAATTTGCATGTTCGCGACGCATCATCGTCACGTCACATGGCCAGCTAAGTTACGTTTGGCGTGTAAATCAGTGGTGGGGATACACTTGGGTGTTCCTATTGCACGTATGTACACGCTCGCTTGCAACCCCGCACATAAGTACGTGTATATGTATGTACGCGCGATCGCCGGTACACACGCGTGCGAATCGTTTGCACGTGCACAGAGGAACGTAGCGTGTAAATAGAGGTGGCGTACGGTGGGGATAGGACGCCTCTCTAAGCGACGCTTCGCGTCTTCGTCAGTCAAATCGCGATCGTCTCCGCGCGATGGGCCGCTGAGATCGCTAGTAAGACGCCGCAGCAACACAGCTATCATTGATGACAATTTGGAAAAACGGCTGATCGTTTACGAAAGCAGGCCAAGTAACAAACACCCAACAGTTGGCACGCGCGGATATTCCGTGTAACGCGTAACGTCGCGCTGTGCCGCGCCACATCGCATCGTATCGTACCGATCCTCCTCGACGAGAATAGATATTTACTCCGTGTGCTTGCCTTCCGGATTTTCGACGACACTTACCAGAATACGAACATCCGGATATCGGCTTTCAACCGGATCCTCTTTCACTGGTCTTCGTATTATTCTGTCACGCGAACGGACAACAACAAGAGTGAGACAAAGTGCTAGATCGTATAGTGAGAAAATATAAGATCAGAACCTTTTTTCGAGATGAAGACTTTGACGCTGGTGCTGCTGATACTAGTCGTCGCGACGACGTGTCACGAACCGTTCCAGGTGATTTTCCAATGGAACACCATCGAAGTTGTCTGGCCAACGGAAGAGGAACGACAATTCGCGCTCGACCACAATGATTACGTTCAAGCCAACAACTTTATAGCCGGTATCAAATTCTGGAAGGGTAAGATGTACTTGACAGTGCCTCGATGGAAAAACGGTGTACCCGTGACTCTGGGAGTGACCTCGGCAACCCCGGTCAACCGAGTAACCAATCCCAAACTAGAAGCTTTCCCAAACTGGGAGATGCAAAAGATAGACGATTGCAGTGCCCTTCAGTTTGTCCAGAGTATGGAGATCGATCCTCTAGGACGCATGTGGGTCCCCGACTCTGGGAAAATGTCTCCTCTATCCATCGAGACTAAAACCACTTGTCCACCCAAGCTGGTGATCCTAAATCTAGAAAAGAACGGCGAGGTTTTGCGTACGTACGAGTTTCCTCCGCACGTGGCTCGTCACGGTACCGCTCATTTGAACGACATCGTTCTGGATCACGAAGACGGTGGCATGGCGTATATAACCGACAGCGATCGCGAGGATCCAGGAATAATCGTCTACTCGTTGAGGAATAACACCTCCTGGAAGGTCAGACACGATTCCATGAAAGCTAAACCGGAGGCTGTCAGTTTCATGATATCCAAGACACCGATTAACACGCCCATAGCCGTCGATGGAATCGCTTTGTCTCCCGCGAGCGTCAGCGAGAGACAGGTGTACTACTCACCGTTGTCTTCCTTCCACTTGTATTCCATTCCAACGTCGGTTCTCAAGACCAACATGACCAACGTAGACGAACACGTGAACGAACTGGGCAGAAAGAATTCTCAGACGGATGGAATGATGATGTCAGCGAAGGGAGTGCTATACTTTGGCCTGTTAGCCGACGATGCAGTGGCCATGTGGGACACCAAACAGTCCAGCTCGTTCGCCACCGGCCAGAGAGTGATCTCTAGGGATCACGAAAGGATGCAGTGGCCGGACACGTTCGCTTTCGACGAGGATGGTAACTTTTACTGCGTCACCAACTCTCTGCAAAACATTTTGAACAATCGTGTGAACGCCAGCGTGCCAAACTATCGCGTGGTCAGAGCAAGAACAGGGGTCAAGAGTTATCAATATTTGGAGGACGGAAGCGCACCGGAGCAGCCGGAGATACCTACTTCAGTCGCTAACAGGATTAGCTTCGCGATGGCTACCGGATTAGCCATTCTGTTGGCTTACGCCGCACAGTAACGTCTTTCTCCCTCTTCGTTCTCCTTTTTCTTCGTAGAGATAGACCGTGTAGTGTACGGACACGCACGCTCGGGCATACCAAAGCGTTTAGCTTGTCTCCAAAGAGACGTTCGTTTTATCTTTTCAGTTAGATAACGAGCGACGAAACGACCCGTTCGATGCTTCTGCCGACCTTGACCGTGTAGACCACGTTCTCTATGGAAGCTCGATGTCTCGGACAAGAAATCTGAACGATCTTCAAGTTGTTCCTTACTGTTCGTTGTCCAACATTAATCGAAGAGTATCGAGCAATCGATTCAACCGTGCTTCGTTACCGATCTTCGTTATGGTTTCTTCGTCCATCGAACGACGTTCCTCCGGACGACGATCACGATTCTGATCCTGAAACGCAAAACTGAATATTTACTTATCGGTATTGTACTTCGAGTCGATCGGGAAACAATGATATTTTCGCTGAGAGCGAAAAAATATCGAGACTATCGAATCTACCAGTGAAATTAACACGCTTCCAGAAAGGAAATTGAACGGGTAACGAAGAAGAAATCGGCTCTTTTCGTGATTCAGGATTCAACCCCTTGTCGAGGGTTGAAAGGGTCATGAAACGTTTGTCACGATCGCGACGAAAGCCATTAACGATGAAAGTATCGGCTATCGAAAAATTCCTTTCTCCCGCGACCGAAATAGAAGAAGAGTATGACATATTACCGATTATAAATGACCGTTTGCGATTTTTGTAATACGAGATTTATCCCCTGTAACGTGCTGTTGACAACATTCCATTTCAAATCACAATTTTAATGCTTCGCGACAGAAACTATCTAGTTGCCGTTGAATATTTTGAAATTTCAAAGTTCCGACTTTTGGGGATCCGAGAATCCTGAGAAATTTGAAAAAAAAAAAAAAAAAAAAGATTACGGAAAATTAGTTT